GAATATTTGTGTTAAATTGTGGCAAAAAAGTTCGGATCGATATTTGTTATAGATGATAAGTTATTCAGATTATTTTCAACTATTTTTATGCTATAAGTTTTTCAATTAGCTTAAGCTTGTTTTTGGAACGTATTCACCCTTTTTTGTGAAACTAATGTCTTGCTTTCAAACAAACGAACTTTCAACTTTTCTCCTCAAATTAAGCGATAATGAAATGATAGAAACCCAGACGTAGATCAATCCTTATATACTTTTAATAATATCTAATTAGCACTCCTGAAGATAATTTATGCCACGATTAGTCTATATGGCATGCTCTTCGTCATTAGGCGATAACACAATTGTTTACAATTCTCAATACTTGAAGATGTATTTGTATAAAACTTGCCTGCGTGTGAGAGTAAACGTAAAAAAATTTACCGCCAACTGAAAGTAAGCGTTTATGATTCTCAATACATAAAGTTTGCATAAACTTCCTGTCAAGCAAAGATATAAATTCCATACAATTTTCTACTAAAAGTGGACGCGATTATTGACCGATAATACCTTAAATCTGCTGTGGTTTGAAGACAATTAACGATCACATCCGCCCTTTGCCACTGTTTGTTAGGATGTTGATCTTTCACAAAAGTTTGACAAATTCCCAGTTGACGATCACAAACCGAGCCTAAACATAATCGCCATCAGCTCAAACACGCCCTAAAAATTTGAATAAAAATTTGACACAAATATTTACCCGCACCGCTTAAAAATTGCAAACGAAAATATATATCATGTATGCTATTCTAGACCAATTTACATTCTAAAATATTAAAAGCTCGATTTTATTGCCATATAAAGCCCTATTTTAGGAAACGGTCCCATTCGGTCCCATTCGATCCCATCCAATCTTTAAGGCATAAGTCGTTTTCGTTCAACTACTTTTTCAAAATATAGCGTTATAAAGTCCGATTCAATAGTCCTTTTTTCTAATAAAACTAAACGGTTTGGTCCAAAGTATGTAAAATGCAAAAAATTTCATCAAAATATCTCGAGAATAGATTGAACAAAATATTAGATAAGGATATGAGAGCCAGACAGATGGACAGACTGGTAAACATATTTAAATGGAATATAGATAAATGATTCTAAACCAGTGGATATATTATAATGGATGCTTCTATCGCACAGATCGTCCCTCCGTATGTTGCATACATACGCACAAATTTAATATACGCCCGCCACAAGTGGTATAGAATATAAAAACGTTGTTATTGCACTGTTTTCTCGTGTTTCTCATACATTAACACCTTTAACAATTAATCGCAAAATTTACGCATCCTGTGAAGCGAAACAATACAGTGATAATAAATCAGAGTTTTCGGCCAAACAACAACAATAACAACTAAAACCGCATTAAATAATGTTGCTCAGCAGAAGTGCGGCGAGAAAGTGAGACCAAACTTTTGTATTTAACAATTGAACAATAATTACAAATAACTGCTTTTATATACATGTATATAAGTGCATTGCATATATATATATATATAACAATTGAAAAACAAAAACAACAATAGAAATTGCTGTTGTAATAATAAATGCCACAAATAGTTCTGGTCAAAGCAACTAACTAACCAAATACAACTCTTTAACCGACACTTTAACCGTCGGTATACATATGCACAAAAGCATTTGCAAGTTCGCTTTATGTACTTAAACAAACAAATCAACCCAGACTGATATCAAATATATTCTCATTGCCAGTTCCCCCGCTGGCATCCTTTCCATCCATTCATCCATCCATACGCTGAAACAGTTCAAACATCAAAAACTCGTAACGAGATACAATTGAAACCACAAAATGTGATACTTTTACCATCATGTAGCTACATAAATGTATTGTTGCTGCATTCTCTTTGATTTCATGCGATAACGGGCAGTGAGCACAACTACTACTACTACTACTACTTGTGCAAAGGATTTTAAAGATTTTCAACACACAAAATATGTGATTTGCATACATTGTTAGTGAAAAAGAATGCTGTGCAAATTTTCAATATATTCTTTTGTTACTCAGCAGTCGTTCGATTTTGTTGGTTTTTCTTTTCTTTCGTTTTCCATTCTTTCCTCTTAAACGGTTCCTAATGAATATTATAATAAATTTTTAAAACAAAAGTTCGTTCGACCCCTTCTCTTTCCCTTTTTTTTTTTCTTTTTAGGCGATAAAGCTAGCAGTTTCCTTTCAATATCCAACTCTTAAGCACAGTTTCTAGTTACCCAAATTTCTTAGCATAAGTGATGTTGAACAGAATTAACTTAACGTCGTTGCGCTTGCACCTCTTAATCAAGCTTATATATAGATGACGAAGTGAATATCTCTTAAGAGATTCTTATCTGCAACAGTGTTAATGAAAATAAGAATTTTTTGGTTAAGGACGTTGCCTTCTCAGGTAATGCGGGCTAAAAACGGGCACTGCACGCGTATAAAAGAACCTTGACTCAAGAGGCATATTCTAAATTTAGAGCTCGACGTCTATAAACTGTAGTCTAAAAAAAAAGAAAAACAACTTTCATCGCAAAGCTTTTTTACTAAAATAAATAATCACTTTGATTCAAGTAAGCGCTTCGAAGAATTGCCCTCTTATAGGCAACTACAAAAGAAACTATAGCAGAAGTCCACTCTGAAAATTACCAAAAATTAGTCCACTCTGAAAATGCTTGAATTTGCAGATATTATTTAATGAAGCGTTGTGCGCTGATTGTTTCGTAGTCAATGGATAATAATCCTTCGATAATTCTTTGAATAAGTTTACAAGAAAATGGCGGCACTTCTAAACTCACTATGTTTATTTTGTTGCTTGTAGGATTTGATTATGGTGGAGCAAGATGATTACATTGTCACCCATTCAACTCATGCCTTTAAATAGTTTTTTTCTGAAGATATTTTTACCCAATCGCGGTATATCGCTCATCATGCTTTTCAACTGTTTATGATAAAAAATTCGCCTTTCTCCCGAACGCGGATTCAGTAAAGCAGCGCATCATGTACTAACGAAAAAAAAAAAAAAATGATTTAAAGCAAAATTCGCTGATCTAAATCCTATCCAATGTAAACAGAACATGTGATATAGAGTATAAACGAGTGACGAGAGTACAAACTAATACAAGTTATATTTAACTTAGTTGTCGTTCAATAGATCTATTGATTTCGTATAATTCTTGCTTATACGATTGATCCTCCTTCATGTTTTCAATTTAGTTGCTTTATTTGTGATTGTTATTGACTTTGTTGTTGTTATTGTTGTTGTTGTTGTTGTCAATATGCATTGATTTAATTTACGTCGTCTCAATTGACAGCTTTAGTTCTCACTGCAATTGCTTTTATTATTATTTAGAATTCTTACATGCTTCTTGCAGACAAACACATTTGTGCTTGTAATTATTTATGAAAACACATAGCTAGAAAAGAGAGTAACTATTTCCAATAATTACATTCTAACATTCGAAGCGTTATTTGGGTCGATAATATCCGTTTATGATAAAAAAATTTTTAATATCGACTTCAACTCATACTTTACTTTTATTGTAGGAAATATTTGTAATATAAAGTATGGTACCTTTAGAGAAGTGGAGCGGTCAGAAATAAACTAAAAAGGTTAAATACAAAACATACTATAAAAATACTATATTAGCTAGAAAATTCTTCCACTTACGCTCTAAAGTAACAAAATTTGAAGTTCAAATACATTGCAACAATTGGTAATTCTTCTCCTTCAATTTGCCAGAATTCGAAGTTCGCTCATTTACTTCTCCTTTAATTTGCCAGAATTCGAAGATAGATTGTTTACTTCTCCTTTAATTTGCCGGAATTATCGGGCTGCTTTTTCTTACATTCAGAAAAGATAGTAAAATGTTTGTTTTTAATCATCCTTTTTAATTTAAATTTTGTACATGTAAAGAAAATAATCTGTTAAGTTATTCTTTTTTTATTTATATACAGGCGTAGCACAATATAGAATAAAAATGTGGCATAACCTTCACAGAAACTCGATTTAAGAAGAAGCTCAAATAACACCTTCATCGAAAAACTATAATAGATATAGGTATCAAAAAGAATGAATTTCAAATTTGCAGACTTTTCTTGTTATCCAATAAAGTAATTTGAAAATTGAATTAAACGAGAGTAGCAAGCTCACTTCAATGCTTGCGGTTGTCATAGTTACATAAACGGAGGCATATCCAAATATGAGCAGACGTAACCAAACCTTTTCCTAAATGTATAGTTGGCTGAATTATATCTTTTATGCTTTATTTTCGGAAATTGTCCATTACTTCGCGTTTACTGAAAATATGCCCTCGAAACTTTGTAACAAGCGTTGAAGAAAATTACTGTTTGCGGCGTTTGGATTGTAATGAAAAATGTGATCCCGATTTTATGTGTCAGATTACAAGATCTTTACAATGCTTACCAGAATTTATCAAACTGGTAAACGCCTTTCTTCCCATTTTATATTGTAACGAATTTTATAACACAATGCTAGGTAAAAAGAAAATTTTGCTTAACATCGTTTAATAAATGGCGCATTTTTCTTTTCGTTGTATTTGTTTTTTTACACGAATTAATGAGTTCGTTGTTTTTCTAATGAATTTAAATAAATTAAAGGTGAAAAGCTTAACTTCAAAATAGGGAAAGTGATTAATATAAAAAAACCGATAGTTATGCGAATTATTGCTATTTTACAAACTAATCGTTTTTCTTGAAGAATGCTGAGAACGCCACCTTTACTTACTTGTTTAATTATATTGAGAACACTTTCGACATATTCAGTGTTTATCGTCACTGTATGCTGTGTTGTATTTTTTCGTATTGTCTATATGAAAGGTAATATTTTTTTAATTAAGCCCATTTCCCACAAAATTCTAATAGTATATTACCTCTTTATCCTTTCATTGATTCCGCGGTAATCATATCAATCAAATAATGCGCATTCATAAGCTACTGGCAACTCTGACAAAAAAGGAACGAGGAATAGAATAAGTGAAGAAAATTTTCTTATATATTTTTATACAACAACAAAAATACCCAAAAAAGTGTGATTAACAAGAGAGTTTTTAAGGTTGACTGCAAAAAAAAAATCGTACATCCTCTGTAAGAGCGCATTAAATTACCGCGAAAAAGGTGTTTAATTATAAACGTTGTTAATTAAGCGGTTAATCATACCTGATATCCTCGCATTAGTCGCTTTATTATTTTTTTTTTTTGTAGACAAAAAGAAGCCAAGGAAATAACAACGTTTACAATAATCATGGTAAGGCAACAAACGCAAGGATCATTATTAATAGACGAATGCCAAACAAAGCCAATGACTAGTAGAACGCGTTAAAATGAAGAAAATCAATTTAAGCAACAATAGAGCGGTATAGCAACGAAAATGATGATAAGTGTAGGCTTGATAATGCTGCAGCCGCTATTGCTGTCATTCTTGCTATTGCCGTTATTGTTGCTATTGTTGTTTTCGTTCCCGTCATCAACAATAACTATCACTTGCGCCGTGCCAGCTGGCTTTGTAAAATGAACTTTGACCGAAATTAAAAAAATATAAAAAACACGCTTACGACTGTTACGACTATCGTTATCAATTGCATCTAATATAAATCTATTCTGCAGGATGTTTTTCTGATGATCCGAAGACGTAAAACAACCATCTTTACTGATGCGAAGGAAAACACCACAGTAGCCGAATTGAAACGTATGCTGGAGGGTAATAACGAAAAAATATATTTTTTTTTAAGATTATGAAACTTACTAACATGTATTTCTGTTTGCAGGTATTCTAAAAGTAAGACCTTTGGACCAGAGGCTATTTAATATAGAAAATGATGTTATGGATGATGAAACAACTTTACAGGATAACGGCATCACAGTGTCAACGGCAAAAGCACAGGCCCCAGCTCAATTAGGTTTAGTGTTCAGGTAATTTTTTGTTGTCTTGTCATGTAAGGCGAATTCGCTGTGAAGATCACGCTTAAGCGCTATTAGAAAAATCGGACTTTCATCAGCACCAATTTTCGAGTAATTTGGATCAAAATTGTATGCAATTTCCCTAACGAAAGATAATTCAAATAACACTAAATCGTTCCTTAACGATAATACCAGTTTTCCATACATATAGGGAATTTTTAAATATCGAATGGGGCAGTGTTTTGTCTTATTTGATAAAGGGCTGATCTTTGACAGTACAAGATGCCCTTGCACCCTTGACGGTTTTAAAGTGGTCTTGAAAATATTCCGAAAATGTAGAAGTTAGTTTATTGGACATCACTCTGATGTTCTTAAATGACTCATTCTAATCTAACCGTTATGGGGGCATTTAAATGTGAGCGTTTCTACCACTTTATGTAATCCAAGTGTTTTTTAGTCTAATCCTAAAACGATCCATTCGAGATTAAGCACGTTATTCTGAGCCAATGCTTCAAAGCAAGTATATTGCTTACCTAAAAAAAACCTTTGCGCTACTTTACCACCAACAGTTTACTAATTGCTTCCTTTTTTTACAGAACCGACGACGGTGATTTTGAACCATTGGAAATCACATCGTACTCATCACCACCCGATTTGCCTGAAGTTATGAAAAATCAAGAGGCAGCGAACGGCAAAGAACAAGTTGCATAGATAAATTTTTAAATAAAAATAAAAGAAAAAAGAAACTAGCCGAAGGAATAGAAGTCTCAGCATCACTTACAGCACTTGAAAAACTAACAATATTTTCAAAAAATTAATTCTTGCAATACGAAAGAGAGGGAAGTACTTACCAATAGAAAAACCTCAGATGCAAAAGAAGGGAATTTCGGACAGCACCACCTTGAAAGGATTCAATTAAACTCTGCAATCCATTGTCTTATACTTATAATGCTCTCTTCATATAAAAGCCAAGTAGAAAAAAATGCTATAGAATATAAAATATTTTTAAAATTTTACAAAACGGAAAAATACTCAAGTGTTGTCATAATCACAAAAAGATGTTGATGATGTATGTGCTACCAATTGTAACTTTAAGGAGGGCTACTGGTAATTTTATCTTTTTTTCTTTCGAATTGCGTGCAAGCAAAATGTAAAATTGTTTGTTTTTTTTTTCGCCACAAAAGCTTAGCAAAACTAACAATTTCAATAGCGTTATTTAGAAAAAGAAAAAATACTATCCCTACAGCAGTAAAAATGAAAAAAAAACCTTATTTAAAATCTCACTAATGCATGCAAGTCAGCCCACGAATCATTTCTCAATGAAAACGAATTAATTTGAACGAAATATCGTTACTATATAAATTTTGTTTTATTATTTTCTCTCGATAATACTGAAAATGAAAAAATTATAACCTGTTTATGGCATTACTTCATTAATAATTAATTGATATATATTTTTAATTTAATTATTTTATTTTTAATTTAATTTTATTTAATTAAAAAATAAAATTGAATTTTATATAAAAACTAATTTGTTCTTTTCGTCAATAAAATATTCAATATAGTAATTATTCGCTCTCATTACCGCTAGTCTGAGAACCAGAGCTGATGGCATTCGCCTCATCTTGTTCGTCCGAAAATACTGTATTTGAGGTCTGTTGCAATTCCATGTTTTCTAAATATTCCTGTAGACGATCTTGGAAGAAATTAATATAAGTTTGTTTTTGTTGCGCCGTGGCTGCAAAGTAGTGTCCACCGTTATGTTCAAGAATCTCAACATTTTTGAAATTATTCGTTAACTCTTTACTCATTTCTTTTGGTATGATTTCATCACTTAAACCATAAACATGTAAGGTGGGTATAACAATAGACTCTTCATAAATGCTTTTATGCACTAAACTACCCGAAACAAAACCGGAAGAAAGTATAGCAAATTCAGGTTTAATTGAAGTTACTGCAAATTTTAAAAAGTGCAGCTTATTTCCATTTAATTCTTCCAAATTTATTGACACTTACATTTTCGTTTTGCCAAACCGCAAATCAGGCCTACTAAACAGGCCCCTTGCGAAAAGCCTAGCAAACCTTGAAAAGGTCCTCGAGTTTTCCATGCCTTCTCCACGACTTTTAAGCTTACTTGAAAGCCGAAAGCTGGCCCATTCTTATTAGTACCTTTAAAAGAGCCGTCATCTTTATTAAACCACCAGCTTAACTGGTCTGACAATTCTTCTGAATCTTCTTGTAAAGGCTTCGCTTTATGAGGCGCATCAATAAATACAAATTCCGCGTATTTGCCAACAAACTTCCGAAATGAACCAAGTTTACTTTTGAATGTTTCGCCGTTTTGACGATAACCATGCAAACAGAGAACGCGAACTTTGTCCTTAATTTCTAAATTTAACTCATTTGGAATTTCTTTACGTCCGGCAGAACTGCTAGCCTCGTTATTGGTCATTTCGATAAATAAAAAACTCTCGGGACTAAAACAACAAATACTTAACAATATTAATACAGAATTTGAGGTTATATTTTACTAACAGCTGTTCACGTATGAAAACAAATTTTTGATAGAATACGTTCAACCAGAGTTTTCTTTTTAATTTTTCTGTCGTTCTCTATATAAATATGCAAGCCTTCATAAAAATTTTCTAATTGTTTCATAAAACGGAAAAATAAAAAAAACGAACATTTTTTTTCTGAATTTTCTGTTAAAATTGGAATTGTTAAACCTTCAGTTTTCACATGCATCAAATAAACGGTTGATAAGTGAACATACCCCGTCTTGCTAACCTTCGCTTCTATATTCTTTTATTAGCTAGTCCGCGTTTTCTTATGTAAATTCTTCATTTGCTGATTTTTCCTTTATTTGTTTTATCAAGTTTTTCACTTCATCTATAATTATTTACATTATTATCTATTGAAAATTCATATATAAAGCAAATCAGTGCTTTGCCATGATACTAACCGTACCGCTGCTTGGGAAGACAACTTCCTTGTTGGGATCGTTAGTCAGCAAATTCAGGCAAGTTATACACAAACATCCTCCCACTAAAGCAACAATAATTAATAAAATGCACGATAACATCTCTGATCCTTCAATGCCTGCATTTACAACAACAATGCAAACCATCACGAACGTTTCCCCGCCTTTAAATGAAACTAATAATATATATAGGCCAATTACGGCTGCAAATTTATGTTTGAGTAGCACAACTAATGCGACAAAATCTTTAGAGGAACAAGTCGGTCTACCACCAAAGCCCAAGAAACCTTTAACGCCTTACTTTCGCTTCATGGCCGAACACCGTGCTAAGTTACGTGCTGAAAATCCAAAAGTTCCTGCCATCGAGTTAGTGCGTATGATATCAAAAAAGTGGGAAGCTTGCGATCCAAGTATAAAAACACGGCTTCAAGAACAATACAGCATTGATCGGCAAAAATATATAGAAACTCGTACAAAGTATGAATCAAATATTAGCGATAAACAACGTAAAGAAATCAAAGAACTTAAACAAGAGATCAAAGAGACTAAAGAGAAACGTATAATGCGTAAGCGTGTGAAAGAGTTAGGACGTCCGAAAAAGCCAGCTTCGGCGTTTATCAAGTTTTTATCGAAAGAAAAAATGAAGTCGCCGCCACTTCCTCAGCAACCTTGGCGCGATTGGTTTAAGCAGACGACAGCTAAATGGGCGCAACTATCTCAAGACGAAAAAAACGTTCACCTACAAGAATCCCGTCGAGAAATTGAAGTATATAGGTAAGTTTCGCCTACATATCAATACGTGCGTGCATGCTTACCTTCACATTTTCCTTTTTTTTTTTTTTTTAGAAAAGAACTAACTTCATGGGAAGAGAAAATGATACGACTAGGCAATGTTGATGTTATACGTCACGGTAGTCTTATAGATCCTCCCGAGCCTAAGCCAAGGTCACAGAATAAGCTAAAGAAATAATCAATTTTTTTAAGTTTATTTAATTATCTACGACCATTAAGTGGAGAATTCAAATACCTTTTATTGTTTTTGTCTTCTTAAAAAAAAACATTATTTCTGAATCATTGCTTGTTTATGAAGAATTATATTAAGTATCGATAAATGGATATACTTAATTTTTTTTATTTTGTTAATTTTATTATACATATATTAAAAATGAAATCATTTTTGAAATTCAAACAATCAAATTTTCTTACAGACTCATGTGAATTCTGAATATATAGAAAACAGGTCGCGAATAAGATCGCCACCCATTTAATCAGTGTTCTCTTGATTCATTTTTGTTATATATAACCTGAAGCAAGATTCTTTCAGCGACTTATTAATATGCTGTGCAAAAATAAACATTTTCGCCATGTTTTGCTTTCTAAAAACCAACCAAAAATTATGCTATGTCTATGGTAATGAAGCCCTAAAGAAAGGCTGTCAAAACTGTCATCGGAGCGCATCGTCACGAAATTACACGGGAGATTGCAAAAAAGTTAAATGTTTCACATACAGCCATGGAGAAGCTTTTAAAACGTGTCGGTCACGTTAAGAAGCTAGACATTTAGATTCCGGACGATTTGAAAGAAATTCATGCGACATAGCATATCAGCAAAACAAAAGAATTGGATTGGAAAGTTCCGGTGTAATTTGACCTGAGCACTTGTACGAATAAATGCAAAGAATTAACACAAAGTGTTCAAAAATATACGAAAATCGAACGCCAGGTCTCTAAAAATTGAATAAAAAAGGTCATCATACAAAATGGAAAATACATTATAGATTAAACTTCATTCCAAGTAAAAAATAAAAATCATTTATTTTATTGAACGAATCGGCAATTACTTAGTTGCCAACCCAATACATAACCTCCTAAAAGACCACGATTGCAGTAGAAGTAGACTAGGAGTGAACAGAAATCAAGTGAAAATCGGAAGGAGGCACAGATTTCAGAGAGCTGGCAGGGACACAATTTTACTCCGGCCAGGAAATAGTATTGTAAGCCAAATTCCATAGCGCTGAACCACGATTGTAAGCTCTTTGAACACAAATTTAACTGATTCCCCTTAAGTTATTGATTCTAAGAGACGGTACAAGATTTGAACAAATAAGAAGAAGAGCACGAAGCTTTCTATATTTTAAGTCGCATAACAAGTATATGCCTCAAGTTCTTTTACGTCTAACTGCAAGATGAGAAAGCGTGATTCTGCTAAATCTGGTGTTGGGGTATTGAAGTGTTACCTGTTCCGGAACTGTTCTTTCAGATTTAATTCCAAAATTATTTTGATTGTTGTACTAAATTATTTATTTCCTAAAACATCTCGTATATCTATTTACAATTAGCTTCAAAAATCTTAAAAACGTACATTCGAGCGTAGAACTATGCTATGACAATTTGTTCTTTTTTTGTGTTTGTTCGCTCATGAGGACGGAATTGTTTTTCTTAATAATGCTAATAAGACACTTTGGACACATTTTTTTAAAACGCATGCATTCTGTGGACGGATTTCTTTTAAGAATGCATGGTTTTTTGTTAAACTTTTGTTTCACTTACTTTTTAAAAAAGTGGAATGGAATTAAGAATGAAAACTATCTAAAAATTGGTATATAAAAAGCTTATGTACAATATAAGTAACTCAGGAGAAGTAATTAGACTATGTAAACGATTTGATCCGGCTTTATACAAATTCCAATCAAATATAATATTGGCAGCATCCGAGAGACGCCAGGGATCTTGGCCATCATCAAAATACATCGGGCAATCGTCACGTTCACGTTCATATTCAATGGCATCAATGGCGACAGCGGCGCCTTCTGTATGATTCCAAGATGTAACATCTTGATTTAGTTTACAAAATGCTCCAACAGCTTAAAAAATTTGAAATTATATTAAAAAAATTATTGAATTTATATTAAATTAAACTAACCTTGCGACATAAGCACACGATTTAAATCAGCTCGCTGGTAAACCCAACAACGATATTTCGAAAGAGGATCTAAATCATCATAAGTTATTAAATATGATTTGAGATTTTCTTTCCAAAAACCAATACATTTCATACGATAATCGGGGTCGCCTTTAAAATAAAAATGAAAGTCATCATGAAAGTTTCATTTGAATCAATTTCATGCACTCACTGTAAATGTCGTCTGGACGTCCTAAGTGATCAACGGACAGACAATAGTTTTCATCAACGGCCAACTCTTTTTGATCCGTATCGCATACTGATAAATCGGAGATATTCTCTTTGCAATAAATAAGAGGACGCGGGCTTAAAGTAACGCCACCTAATATCCGAGTCTTAAACGGGTGCTCTCCGCGTTGAGTGAAATTAAATTTGCCCGCCACTGGGCATCGCACGGGTGCTGGATTTTTGGCCAAAAATAAATCATATAACCAGTCTTCAGCATTATTAAATTGTACCCATGAGCATACAGTGCTGAAATCATCTTTAATCACAGCCAAACCTTTAAGAGAAAAAAAGCAAACAAAAAATTGTAAAATTGTGAAATTCGAATAACTTATATGTATATCTTTCTTTATTCTTATTTTTAATTTCCGCTCTTCTTTTTATTTTCTAGTTTAATTTTTTTATTTCATTTTTTAATTCCTTTTAAATGAAATCAAATCATACCTTTACGGTAACGTATAACATTATGATGACGAGGCATAAAGTCAAAGCAGACATAATCTTTTTGGCAGCCGTCCACAGTAAGACGGGCCATCATAACACGATTCCCACGACGTTCTCGACAAACATAAATCGTTCGCCTGTAACGAGCCTTGTCGGGATAATAGGTTTCGTTAATATGTGTTTCACTAATAATTACATCGGCATCAATATTCGCCGTATTAACCCATTCACCGGTAAAATTTTGTGGTAGCGTGCAACCAGGTTCTACGTATTCTGCCTTGACGGGCGTAAGATTTAAACGTTCCGGCGAATTTTCAGGCGTCTTCAAAGTATTACATTCCGCGGTTATGGACACACCTATATATAAATCATCATCACGATTTTTAAGGAAACAACGATATTTCTCATCTTTTCGCGACTCCTTCGTATTAGCCACGGCAAAGTAATGATTTTTACCCACAAACCAATCACCTAAGCAGCTATACTCTACGGTACCGCTAAATGTTCCGTCCATTCCCTCACACTGTAATTTGAATTTCAAAAATTTGAATGTGCAAGTTGTGCTTGCTTTTATTTGTTTTTTTTTTTTTTTTTTTTATGTTTACCTGTTGATAGGTAATGTTAAATTTTTGATTTTGTATTAGAAACTGCGTGCCTGCCGTTTGGCAAGATTGTATACGAGCGTACGGTTTATTACAAACGCCTGTAAAACGGAAACGATTTTGATATGTAAAATGCCAAACACCTTCCAGCGAACTACGGCAATTTATTGGCACAAAATTTTCATTAAACAAAGTAATCAATTGCTGATCCGCTTTAATTCCTTTGCAAACATTTTCCACAGTAGGCTCAGTACCGGGAGGTAACGACACACATGGACCTAAAGTTCAAAATGAATCATAATAATTAATGAATAACGATTTTCCTATGAAAAGCTTACCTTCGTATTTCTCAAACACATTTAAAGTTCTGACGAAGGTTTTCACGCAGTGGAAACAATCCACTGTTCTTTCTTTAAAGACAAACAAATATTCATCACTTTGTTGTTTCTGCATGTCAATGCAATAACCACGCCTTGAATGGAATTTTTATAAATTACACGCTATTTTCTTTCCATGTATTACTCACCTTGACATGGATGTAGCATCGATCACGTACTGCGTAGGTAAACCAGTTTCCCATGAAAACCATGATCCCTGCAATATTTTTGGTATAGAACAGTGTCTACGGTTTTCCAAACGATTCAAAGAATATTGCGCTTTGACTGCAAAACAAATGAAAATAAAAGGTGTGGCCTAAGCACTTGTTGAATGTTCACAAATTTTACCTGTCGTCAGGATGCTCATTAAGCACACGATGCCAATTTTCATATTATTTTTGTGAGCAATTAAATGCTAAATGCTATTTTTTTTTTTTTTTGTATAAAAAAGGGTAAATGTTTACAAATTTATTTAAAAAATTTTACAACTATAAGCAACAATCACCAAAAATTGAGTATGTCAATAGATAGAGATAAACGTCTATGGAAGGAGAGATAGCGAGAGAGGGAAGTTGCCGTATCTCTGCAAAGAAACGGTTGTTTAATAATTTTTTAGAACCAAAAAAAAAAAATTTGGAAAAAAAACAATATAGTCGGGGAAGACCGATCATTCAATACCCTACACCACTTTGCCTAACACAATTCTTATTTTTGTATGATACTACTATTATGGGTCAATTTACATCATAACATATTAAAACTTACACTTTTCTGCTCTACAAAGGATCAATTCTCGAGAAAATTCTTTTTGGGGTAGAATCCAAAAAATTGGCAAAGACGGAACAAATTTGGTATAGTTAATTTTTGTATGTTAAATTACTATTATGATATAAATTTCATCATGAAGCATTGAAAATTATACCTTTTTGTCGTAAGAACGGTTGTTTAATAATTTTAATAATTTTTCGCTTACTCTCGTACTTTACCAAATTTTTATACAAACACTTGAACAAATGTAAACAAATTCAGACGCTTATTCTCACATTTTTCGAATTATTGAGAATTGTATACGCTTATTCTCATACTTTACCAATTTTTGTGCGCTTACTCTCGTACTTTACCTATTTTTACACGCTTATTCTCACATTTTTCGCTTACTCTCGTAAAATTACAACGGTAGTTATAGGATTGTTTCTTTTGTATTGAACACAGTTGGACTAAATTTCACTAAAAAAAGTAGTGCTAAAGCTTTAGTAACATCTTTTCATGTATTATTTAGTTTTCTTATATTTTAAGATTAGGTTGAGATTAGCTTGATCTCAGCATCTAAAAAAAAAGCTCGTCTTGAAATCGATTTAACCAGTGTTTGTGGTTGAACTTGATAATTTTGACACTACACACGTACGTGAAAGGACGTAAGACCTCATCATAAATTAAAATTTAATATAGTCAAGAGACTTTGCATTAAAGCATTGCTCTTTTTTCGAGATGTGATGAATGCTCTCTTCCCTCTTCAAGTTCAAAACGTATTTAAGTTCGCTTACCAGCAAGTGATTGCTGCGCCCCGTTCATTTCTTTTATTTATTTATTTAAATAAAGAAAAACACTAACACTAACACTATAACTGCCACATAGTACAACAAACCTAAAAAAAAAATGAATGTTATTTCAAAGTGCTTAAGTTATAATATTGCAATTTATATTACATATTAATAGGTAAACATGGACATACTACTAATTTCAATGGGCTCCCAAGTGAATGAGAATAAGCGTATACAATTATCAAGAATTTTGCATGTATTGTGTGACTTTCGAGAATAAGCGCATATATTCTCAATAATTTGTATACAAATTCCAAACAACTGAGAAAATACAAATTCCATACAACTGAGAAAATAAAAATTCCATACAACTGAGAATGTTTGAATACGTTTGTTTACATGTATTGTGGGACTTTCGAGAATAAGTGCATATTCGTTTTCAATAATTCAACAGGCCTTTGTAAAAAAGCCATCGATGCGAGAAGTAAGAATGAAGTAAGGAGTGCATAGCAAGCATCGTGCGAACAGCATTAGTCCCAACCAGTCTTAGCCAGTAAGTACTGACTTATATGCAAATATTACGTTGTGGTTTTTGAAGTTTAAGATGAAAGCTGTTATTAGAATGTGAGACAGTTTCAACAGCGTGCTGACTTCTCCACAGAAGTCCTTTCAAAGACTAACCTACGGATTCTAAGATTTCGTGTGAAATGCAAAAATTGCTATACTTAATATAGTCAGTAAAGGTACATCTAAGATTACTCTGGATGTACAGCATTTGCATTTGCCCAAATCGAAATCGATCTCTTGCAAGCATTTCTTGCCCTCGAATATTATTTAATTCTCACAATCCCGTAACTCTACCGAAAACTCATATAGACAATGACATTCATAAATTTTACAATAAAAAAATCCTAACCTAATTCTCTTGACTTCTGTTAATTCATTAGCTTTTTCGCGATCGCTAATCATTTACATTTTTTTTGTTTTCCTACAAACCCATAAAACAACTGCAGCTTTTTTTAAATTAATCAAGCCTTAGCAATAATAATTTTACAGAAAAATTAAACTGTGTTTTAATAAAGAGCCACTTGTGCAAGTTTTCAAAAAGAAATTGTGTAATTTCCTCTGTCTTGATCATGAAGAAAATTTTTTATGATATAATCGAGCGCTTTTATTCGTATTCGATGCTCTAACGTTCTTACTGTTACTGTATGAGTTCAAGATTCGATCTGATAAGGAAGAAAAGGGACTCGTGTAATGTGATTGGAGTCAAAAAAAAAAAAAAAAAAAAAATGTTAAAGATCACATGAAAAATGCTATACATTATCTCGATTACAATTATTTGTTTATTATTTGTTTTTTTCATTTCAGAGAAACTTAAAGTATCTTATGATCAATACGAACGCATTTAGCAAAATAAACAACTTAAAAAAAAACTAAAAAAAGAGAACAAAGTAATAAGTATTCCTATTCCTAGAGTGTATAGTAATTAGTGTGAAAATGAAAGCAAAAACAACGATCGGTAGTTAGAGAGAAAAGTGCGACTGATATGGAAGACGCGAAATATTAATAAACGCCGTTTATATTATTATGGGCAGACGGTGAATTAGTCTCTTGAACATCTAAACGTCGTCTAGGCGAAGAATATGTACTTGACGAATTTATGGTCGAACGACTGCCGCTAACTTTTTCCGCCTCAATACGTCCTGAGAGGAAAGAAGCTACACGTTCCTACAAATTTTTTATAGAAAAAAATATTATTATAAAAAATTTTAAAATATATATTTTCATTTATCTCTTTTTAAACTTACCAAGTATATGTTGGTTAAGCCTTGAAGATCTGAATAGAAGTTAATCATACGTTTGAGTAACGTTTCCGCCTCTTCTTTCGACATATGTTTGACTTTATCCAATTTGGTGATAGTTATAAGACGATTATTAATATAGGCAAATTGATGGATAACTTCCAACGTAGTGTGCGACATGGTTCTAAAAAATTTTGAAAAAAAAAAGAAAATGAAAAATTTTAAAAAACGAAATGCATTCGTGAAAAGTGTAGCTCATTACTTGGGTAAATGTGCAGCCACGTTAACACCAAAATTAACCAAGTGAACAACAAGCCGAGCTGATTCCCGGGTCAATAATACAATTAGTTGTTCCAGAGAAGCCGGTCTGGCTTGATTTTCAGGTTCATCTGCACTTAAGTAATTCCATAGCTCCTTTGCTTTCTGATAAGCTAATTTCGGATCGGTAGCGATCTAAGCAACGTAAAAAAGAAGAAAAAAAAAAAACAACCGTTATCGCAGATAGTTCAATTCATATCGTATTTAGAATAAGCAATTACCAATTCGGCTGCGTATATAAGAATATGTATCGCTTCTTTACTTTGCTTCTTCAATGCTCTAGCCTCGGCTATTGTCCTTTGGGTTAAGCGTCTTTTCAATTTGCGTGAAAATCGTTGACTATGCCTTATAGCATTCATAGCACTTCTTGTACTTGTCGTATTAATATTGGGTTCCTCTTCATTCGCTGCTGAAAGTAACGATTATATAGACATATAGATTATCACAGAGGTCAGAGGTCTGTCGTTAGACTTAAAGAAATAAACGAGTTATATAACGTTTAGAGAAAGTCTTTGATTTTCATCTCTCGTAAATCAATAAACAAAACTATTGTACTAACTTTTTTTCGTTTGTAAACACCTAAGCTGATCAATCAAGACTTTTTTTATATGGGTGTCAGTTGAGATCACTTTCAAACTTAAGTCCCATAGTTCGAGATATACTTATAGAATAATAACGTTTTATCTTGATTTGTGCAAAGATAAGCGCTACAAAAGCGGACTAATAAGCATATCGCCCCAGACTATACATTGAATCAGAATTTTATGCTGCTGAGTCCCTTAACACAAGTCATCCAAGGTAAGCGTACAATTTTTACTCAATTTTTGCAATAGTGAACGTTTCAAAAACGGATGAATCGGCTCACTGTCTCAATATATACATCAATCCACCAACTTATGCTGCTCAAGAGTAAGTAAGCTTGATTGGATATTCAAAGGATAATTAAACCCCGTTTCTGATAAATAGGGAAGTAATCTTTGCCGATAGGAAAAGCCTGCACATATTCTGAATTGGTTTGGCATTCCACATAAAAGTTGTCCATTGAAAAAACTTTCGCTTAATCCTTTTCCCCCTTAACTAGATAACATCATTGCTTGTTTGCATGTAAAAAGATTCCAAGATCTTCTAGATATTCTCGGTAATATAGCTTTTTTTGCCACGTTTTTTTCTCGTTAAAAGACAGTCTCTCTCTCATATATATGTATATATAAAAAAGCAAGCTTTAAATATTCTTTTACACTTACCGTCTGTTTGATCTCCATCTATTGGAACCAAATATTTATCAACAAATTTATCGCCGGCTTGAAGTGCACCCTCTAAACGTTCTGCTGCATAGTTCGTTATTGAACTATCCAGTACGACGTTGCGTATTTGTTTCATAGAATCGGCTCGCTTTAGAACCGGTTTAACCAAACGATCGGACATGTACTCCTTGGTATTCCAGTACATCTTGAAGGGGGATCATATAACTTATACTTCATATAATTGTTTATAGAATTTGTTTTTGTAAAACCTACCAATTCCGGTGGTAAATAAACTGAAGGTATACGTTGCTCTAGGACATCTAAACTTTTGCACATAACATTATCTAAACGTTTAAGGGGTGATTCAAATAATTTAACGGCCGGTTGTACCGATTCATAAGCCGAGAAGATTGTCATTTCGGCCGTTTCGAAATACCAATTGAAGAAACGATTGCTCTTCTTGATCTTGCCATAGAGGCCTTCGGCCCGTTTTAGGCTCGTTTCGACCAATGGTATACTGCTAATCCGATCGAACCATTCCATATGCAATTTATTACTAGTTGTGTTCGCTTTAATTATGAAAATTATTTAATTATTTTATTAATAAAAACCCAAAAAAAGAAAAAAAAAAAAAATTTAATAAAAAAAAAAAACAACGTTGCTAACCCACCCATTATCTTGATTAAAAGATTTTCGTCAGATAGATCTATTTTGAGAGACACTTTCCGCTTGGAAATGAGTTGAGCAAGTGATGAGGATACTTGGTTTATTTGGAGCACTTTTCAAAAACCGTTCGTAATCACAATCTTTGCTGATCAATTTTAAGGCGACTACAGGAACTCGAGCCTGCTAGCTTAACGTTTCCCGTTCAACTGAATTTTGCAATAAATTGCAAAACCTCTGATTAAGAAATTTTCGCAACAAGCCTAAAAGGAAAAAGAGAAAGAACCGTTATATAGTTGTCCACCAGATTAGTTTACGCTAAGAAAGCAAAGCGATCAAAGACGAATCTTACAAGTGCGCATAACATGAGGAAATTTGTTCTATAAAAAATTTATTTAAAAAAAAAATTTTAAAAAAGGAACTTGATCCTTAAGGGTTCTCCTTTATAAGTCGAATAAGCTTTTCTTCGATTTTATCTTATAGGGCAGATATTCAGATGCTTAATTCGATGATTGGCACGTAAAGTAACGCTATCTAACGCTTCTTGTTAGGAGCTAAATAAGCTCGATCGATGCCAGCTTTAGATCAAGATCAATCAAGAAAACCGTTTCCATCTTGGGCTGAATCAAGAAGGCCCTTAAGTCTTAAATAATTCCATTCTTTTAAATTTTAAACTAATGTCTATTATTGATATCAGATTATTAAATGCCTTCTAGAGTGGTAAGATTTTGTTGCGGGCAATTCGAGCCTACTAGGGATGTTTTGGTAATAAGTAGAAAAGATTTCAGTCCATCACCTACATAGGGGTTCAGATTAATGAAAATTTGAAAATTGATGATTAACTTTCCATCCCTTCCTCAGATTATTTCGGCTTCTAACTTGGCTTTCGAGAACTATTCTCCGCCTTTTTTCTTCCCACATATTTTCTAGCTTCCGGACAAAGGAGTGACATACAAATTGGCGGACTTGATTAAATTAACTTCAAAGATCTTGTTGTTGTGCAATATAAATGAATTTTGTATTAGCTCTGTGATAGGTGCACATGGGCGTTACAAATCGCATGACGAAACGCGGATACCTTTGTCATTCGATGATGGGTAGAATGAAAGCAAAAATAACCCTGTTAACCTCATAAACTGATAAGAGTTGCCGGCTACCAGACCGATATGTGTCGATGACAGTGAAATGATCGCAAAGTTATTCGTCTCGTATGCACACACATACACAATTGTAAATATTTATTGCAATTGCAATTGTAGTTTAATTTGTATTAAAGTCCATGTTGTCGTTTGCCGTTCGCTGTACGCTTGTCGAATTTTATCAACGGTTAAATATTATGCTTAAATTAATTTCTATATTTGGTCGTGTACATAAACTTGTAAAGGGAGAATGAATCATAAATTTTTTTAATTTTTTTAAAACTAATTAACAAAATTTATATAAAGCGTTAAATAGAGTTCCATAGGTTAAGTAAATGCATTGATAAAGGCTTTAAATTGATCGAAGGAAACATGTAAGCTCTTAGTTACAGACCGAGGCAATTGCGGCTCTTTGCCTCTTAAGGTAAATGACTCGGAGGCAGGCGCAGAAAGTTTAATTATTGCCTACTACTAGTCTTCATATTCCATATTGAGCTTTCAGATCTCACCTCCTCGTAATCAGTCAATGGCATTATCGAATGCTCAGAATTTTTCGATGCAAAAAATGCAAGATTTCAGCAGTGGTAGGATTGAAAAAGTTAGTGATAGCCTGGATATCAGCTATATTGCTGCAACAAAGATGCCAGCTCCTGTCGTTCTCCTCATATCAGTGATCTAACTCTCATGAATGTCGTAGGCCCTTAATCGAATAGAATTGCTTTTTAAATCACAGAAGTGTTTGACATCAAAAACGAAAAGAAACTGGTCTTCTATCATATGCTGAAAAGGGTTCTCCTCCTCCTCCTCCTCCTCCTCCTCCTCCTCCTTCTCTTCGTTCTCAAGCAACCTTCTCTTCGACCTCAGCCTCCATTGTTGTAAATAAAGTAATCCTAAGAAAGTAAATTCGATTCGCGAGTTCGATTAAACTTGATTCCACTGAAGAAGGTCCACCAACTCGACGAGATCATTCTGTTTGGGGCAACAACACTCTGTCAAGTACTAGGTCTTTCATTTCTTTCTTTACATCCTGTTTCTTGATTTAAGGTTTCCGAATAGTGTATTGCCTGTAAATTAAAATGTAAGTTATATAGTCTGGTCACCTTAGAAAGTACGTAAAGGAAACTCTTATCAGTCAGTCTGTTTGTCAAGTTGTACTTTGTATTTTAACTCATCCCATAAATGTTGCATTTAAAAGTTAACATAATTTTACATTATGCGCGAATTTTTTCTTAGACTTCATATGACTTTAACTTACTATAAATAAAGCACTCGCATCACTCTTTATGCATCAGAGGAGACGCATCGATCATCATTTGTTTATGAAAGCGGTAAGTGAGGATTTCTCTTTGGCCCAAAATATATCACTGATCCGAATCTCATCAAAATATTTCGAATATTGCGAAGTTCGTGTCGAAAATAAATGACTCAGCTCATAGAAATTTACTATATTGCAAGGGGTCCGAAAGAGCCCAGTAAATTTATATGCCAACAGTACGAGCTTAATACCGTGTTTTTGTAATAACTATTCTGGGCTAATCAATATGTCACAAAATATTAAAAAATAGGCTTTATGGGCACTTAGAGGCTTTTTATCCCTTGCAAGGACACTTATATGCCCTTGGGTTAAAAGATGTGCCCATTCAAGTCAAACTTTTAGCGCCAAAATACAATGTTTCTCAGATTTTTAGTAAGAAATATCGAAAAAGGGTAGATTTTTTCAAAATGAAGCTTCGTACAGGAAGCAGTGTGTATCCGTTCCTCCTTCGGAGGTCTTCGTTCTTGGGCCAAGGCAAAATATATCAAGAATTGTGATTTGCATATAGGAGACGGACGGATATGCTTAAATCGCTTCAAGAAGAAGATTCTTAATAATAAAACGAATAAATAACTATAGCACTCTAACTACCCTACACCATCGTACAGTTATCCATTTATCGCCAATTAGAAACTACGCGCTAAAGGAAAAGTGTTCGAAAAAGTGACCCGATCCGAATCATTTTCAATAGCACTCGGCTTTGAGCCAAAATCCTTCTCATCAAAAAATCTTAAAAAGTCCGGCCTGTAATTTGAACAAAAGAACACAAGATGGATGGACGGGCGGAATCATTTTCTGAACCGATTGATTTAAAAAAAGTAGGCCTATTCCAAGTCCTTCCGGCTGTCGGATACATCCACGCAGACTTAACATATGATATGCCACGATGTGTGCCGCAGTAGGATATAGTGACTTTTTCTTCCCCAAGGGTGTAATAAAATATATCAATCCGCCAAAACAAATCGTAAATCGACGGTTCAACATATTATTTACAAAAATCTTCCTAGTAGAGACACTTGCATCGACTTACACGGTCTTCGTGTTTATTCTAAGTTTCAAACACTCCCTAAATTTATTTAAAAATATGAACGTCAAAGATTCCTTACGGGTTAAGTATAACTCCCGGTAAGTATATAAGAAAATGTAATTTCTTTTTTTTTTGTAGAAAGATTTGTCAAGATTTGTCTCCTAGTAAGTTCAATATTTGATCTAACCCTAAAGAAAGGACCGTGAGAACATGTTGAGTGGGGCAACAATTCGAACATGATTTCATGTAATTTTGCTGTCCCTAACTGATCAATGCGACTCCGCCTTCATTCTACACGACTTCGGTTTGAAAAGCAGCTTTCCTATGTCCAAATTTTCGCGCAGAACAGTCCCCGCATTGACAAGGAAGACGTTTACAACAGTGCTGGGAATTATTGATCAATGTTTTATTACTTGCACTTATTCCCGGCATTAATAATCATTTATGCTTGCTTTAGTTCGTAATCAGTCAGACGTCTTTAATGGCTTGTATTTAATTTCAATAAACTTTCATACGTATATTCATATGAGCAAATATGTTTGTTTAACATGCAAGCAACCCGTTTTGTATATACATTTTTCATTTGTTTTTTTTTATTTATTTATTTTATTTTTATTTTTTTATTATTTATACATGCTATCACGATTAGTTGGCCATATTTGCGTCCACTATCAGGCTTTAACTTTATATAGTGCATATTATCTTATTTATAAATACTCTTTCTGCTTCTGCATAAGGCGAAGAGAATCGTGGACATAGGGTGAACATTCATTAAAGCAATCTCTATAATCCTCTTCATTTTTTCTTTTGGCTGTAAATTTTTCCGAAAATCAACATTTTTCCTATTCAATTAAAATGATCCCTTAAATGAATAAATATATAAAGAAGTGTTATAACAATATGGGTATGGGCGTGGCACAATTTGAAATTTTGTATATTTTCTGTTACTGAGAACTTTAAAAATGTTTTTCTCAAAACACGGTTTTTCAAAACGAAGCGTATCCAAAACTTTTCATTCATTTCAATCGAATTTTTATATCCCACCCTGATAGATGAAGGGAATTATTTGCTATTTTTTAGATATAAATTCGCACCAGAGATGTACTAGAGATAGTAAATCGATTGCAGTAATCTTCATAGGTTCAATATGAGCATCACGCACTTACATAGTAAGAAAAGAATTCTATATCTTGCGCTTGAAATACCCAGTGGGAGTTAAAATTGAAGACAGCAGTCCGTTATGCGTGCGTAGCCGTTTCGGAACAGTAGGCGCAATATCACATTTTATAGCTTCTTTACAAGTTATGAAGTGGCTTAATGTTTATACAGACCTGGCTGCAGCAATAAATATATTTTTCCTTATCTTGTAAAGGTTTCCTTTTTATATCCTGCACACACTTGTGGTAGAGCATGAATAGAGAACCCAATAGGACTTAAGGCAGACCTACCTTCTATTATGACATTGCCGGCCTGTCCGTCCGTCTGTTCGCCTGTTGTCTTTCCACGTACTTTTGAGCTTAACCGCATATCTTGGGACCACATTTTCCCAAATTTAGTGCTACGACATGTTTTGAAACCGGACCATTTTCTCGACTACTTCTATGTTTGCATTCTGTGCAACTTGTTTGGATATATAAATGAGTTTAAACTATAAACGAAAATGAGAAGATTTTAATTATTGTCATTATTCTCACAAGCGACTGAGAGTCACATCGTGATATGATCCGTTATAAGAACATGGGCTAAGTTCAGTGTTAATATCTAAACAAAGGTAAAGGTGTTTCCCTTCCTTCTGAAACGCTCTTTTGGATTCATTTTAATTCTATTGAAATATTCTATTGCCTTTTATAAGTCCATTTCTTCTGCAAGAAAATAAAAGAGTGACGAAAGCGCGGAGATTGGATCTCACAAGCAGGTGATTCCCAATAACCTTATGATGCTGGCACAATTATTTACCGAGATAAAGAAATTTATTGGCAATATATCAAAATTTCCTTATTATTTCTCATAACTCAAAATGCTTTCGTTTCGAGTTTTCTTCTTCAACCCCGGTACGGATCTGCCACTACTTGAGGAAATTGGTTATAACCCCCCACAAAATAAGGTCGAAATATCATATACTTCTTTCCTAATGTTTTTTTTAATCCCACTTTTATTCGATACCAAAAAAGGTAGGGGGGAAGGGAGGCTCAAAGCATCGAAAACGCTAATTATTTTTTATTACTTTCCTAGAAATGCTCGTTAGAAGTCCTTTTTTTATCCTTTTCACACATAAGATACTGACCCGGCATAATCTTGTATGTGTGTCTGTTTGTCTTTTCATCCGCTAAAGATATTGTAATATAAAAATCTTTTGTAAATAACATATATGTATACATGTAGTCACACCTAATAACACCCGTAATCATGAATGAAGATCATCCTTGCTTTAATGAACGTTGACATATGAGAGCGTCTTTCCGGAAGGTAAGCTGTGTTTGCGAAGCGAAATACATTACTGTGTCGGCAGAAAATGACGACGATCTTAACCTGAAAAAGTAAAGTAAGGAAATTCAATGTACATATGCGATTAAGACTAATTTAAGGAAAGACTTATCTAAAATCCATCATTGATCCACCGACCATTAAAGAACTCGTATCGTATACGTTTCTGAACGTTGGGAAATATCGGTTGAATCTCTACTATCTTTGAGAATGCAAGGAAATGAACTTTTGAAGTTTTCTTCATCTCTTTATTTAGTTTATTCCATTTCTAATAAAAACGTTAACACTTTAATCGCTTCAGAGTTCGCCTTACCTTTTAATAACTTTTGTTGTTATTATTAAAATAATTTCTTGGCTTCAATTTAATTTTTCAATATACACATACTATTTTTTTTTTCCTCTTTTTCTTTACTAAAAGTTTTAGAGAAGGCGTATATGCACATCTATCATTAATCATCCTGTCGTTTTTAACTTTTCACTGCCTCGCACATGTATAAAAAACTTACAAGTTGGAGAATTACAAAGTTGAAGCTTACAAAGGGATTCAAAAGTTGCGTTCTTTGTGGTACGCAACGGTTCATTGGAATTGAACGGTTTCGTGGCGACGGTGAGTTGCAGTATCCAAAGACGAAAATAATGCTCATTCCAAAGGGACCCCTTTTCAATTTTTAACATTTTTCAATTCGTTTATTACGGTTTAAGCAAAAATTAAGATAAAAAATTTCATTTTTCAAAGCAACTGTTTTTAAAAGGCACACTGTCACAGTTTGAAAAGCATTGTCAAGCAAATGGTATTTCAAAGTAACAATAAATAAATGCGATTTGCACTTAGCAATACCAATATTTCATTTAATTCGCTAATACCGAATTTAACATCTCTGTTGTGTGTAGAAATAGTTATTTAAGAAAAATTATTATATTTGTTTAACAGCTGTGCCTACATGAGAATTCGCATTATTTCAGCGCCATTTTTATCTTTGCGATAAATGAAAATTATTTTCATTTTTAATAAATAGAGGAATAAACAAATGTCTTTGCCCAGCAAGCAGCAAGTTTTACGTTTATATAAGCATTTAATTCGCTACGGCAACCAATTAATTTATACAGACAAAAAATATTTCTTAAATAGAGTTAGAGCCGAATTCAAAGAGAATTGTAAGGAAACAAATCCTGAAAAAATCGAGTTCAGCTTTAAGGTAATTAAACTCACTTATACACACTTGTATATTTAGTTAATTACAATTACAATCCTTCGTAGAGAGGTGGAGCATTATTGCGTAATGGGAGAGTGGTTTAATCGAACGCACGTAATCGTAATGAAATAAGCGCAAATATGTTAAAACCCTTAGTTAAGTATTTCAATTTCATGCCGAAACCTGTTTCACAAATTTGCCTCCTGACTAGTGTACGTGCGAAACAAGATGTGGATTATTCACGCTATCCTACATTAAATGAAGATGATTTAGAGGAACACTTTACACGAGGCAGTGGCCCAGGAGGTCAGTCAGTTAATAAAACTTCGAATTGCGTACTTTTACGTCATATACCCACGAATTTAGTTGTGAAATGTCATACACATCGTTTAGCATCAAAAAATCGTAAGGAGGCTCGTAAGCTATTATTGGAGAAGTTAGATATGCACTTCAATGGTGAAAACTCCGTACAGGCACAATTGAAAGCTTTGGAAAACAAAAAAGCTTTAGAACGCAAACGTAGGCAAAATAAGTTAAATGAAATGAAGCAAAAATGGAAAGAACGTGAACAATATGAAGCCAAAGACCTTAAGCCAGACGAGGAAAAATGAAATTAATTTTCAAATTCTTTCTTTTCATTAAGACATGATATTCTATTGCGACAATTTGCTACTAATTCGACAATTATATCTTAGTTTAATTTAAATAGATTATTCTTATAATATTGTAATTCTTCTAAGCTTTCTTTAACATCATCTGAAGCACGGTGAACAAGTTTCTTTTTGGGCGCCGCATTATATACTCGAGCATTCCACCGTTTAGCCAATTCTTTGATCGATGACACATCAATAATGCGATAATTCAGGTAATCATCAACTGCAGGCATATGCTTTTTTAAAAATAATCTAAAAGAGAGAAAAATGCAATTAACGTATTCTATCATAATGCAAGGGGCAATGCTTCTATTACCTGTCCATATAAATAGAATTGCCGGCTAAAGGACATTCTCCTTGAGGGATATGTTGTCTTAAAAATTCCAGAATTTGTTGCTCCGCCTGATCAAGCTTTATCTGAGATTTAAGACATTTATCCACTAAACCGGATTCATAATGGTGCATGTTGCACCAGTCATTCATATTTTCAAAAACATCTGGTGGATAATTAATAACTATATGTGGCCCTTCAGCTTTAACAACAAGATCTTCATCAGATATTAAGCAAGACACTTCAAGTATTTGATCCTTTTCCACCTCAAGTCCTGTCATCTCCAAATCCATCCATACAATCCACGCATCGGAGGAGGAAGCCTTGGCCATCTTGTTACTTAAAGATGATGTTAACGAAAGACTTCTAACCCTTAAAGGCTTTTCAGAAACTTTCTCTAACAGATGGCGAGTATTGAAAAGCGTACTTAGTTTTTTAAACATAAATAAATAAAAATAAAGTAAAAGATTTCACAAATATAAAATTGTAACAATCACAGGAGGTAATCAACTTTCACACCAAGACAACACGCACGGTCTTTCTAAATCGACCTGGTGGTTTTTCAGCGCACACGCATCAGCTGTTTTCTTATTTAAATGTCCCTTGAAATATCCCATCAAGGGAAATTAGGTTTTACCGCTTCATTTTTACCTAAGCTATTTACACATTTCATTTATTTTTATTCGTCAAAATGATTGAACACCGTCGTAAGCAAAGCTATTTACTATGAAAAGTAAACAAAAATCAGCTGAGTATAGTTAAGTTGATGCAATTTAATGAATTGCTTAATTTCATTCGCTGTCATCGAGGAGAATTTATGATTAAATGATTAAATTGGCTTAGTCCATCTCTGTTCAACATACCAAAAAAAAAAAAAAAAGATTAAATTTATGATTAAAATCAAGTTCCCGTGTGACCAATCATCTGCTGGCTATCGCTCAAATCTTCTTTTAATGATTGCTTTTCTCTTCTTGGCTCAATGGTATGTAATATAAACCGCCGTTTTAACAAAACTCAATTCTAAAATTGCGGCAAGAAAAAATAATGTGTTGAGAGAATTCTAGGTGTCTGCGTCGGTTTCAGCAAGGCAAATGCCTGATTTCTGATTGCTATTAGCAAATCCATTCGCGACACTTTATTACTAAACTAAAATTACACCCGGGAAAGAATAAGCGGTTTTCGTAAAAAATTTAAGGCTTCCTAAAAAGATTTCCAACAAATAAGGTAAAAGCAAAACAACAAAAAAGTTTACAAAATATGCAAGAAAAGCTTAATAAATTTAATTTTAAAGTCTAATGTATCTGCATTAGGTTTATTTGTAGTTTAAAAATATCTTTCCATTAATGTATAACAGGACTTAGATGCATATTTGATAAACAATAAGTGGTTAAAAACACAACGAACATATGTAACTTAAAGACACATTAAACATTAGTAGGTAGGAATAGGTAAACTTTTTAACCTCCATGAAGGCCTTGCAAATAAATATCCATTACATCCTTATTGGGATGATTGAAAGGTTTTCGCTTTGGTATCGGCTGTATATGAGGCAAGCGAGTGCCGTTAAAGGAATTTAGACTTAAATGTGGCTCGTCATCGTCATTATCACTGCTGGTATTCGAAGCAGTAGCATGTCCTCGCTTCGCAGTTTTTTGAAAAGTACGGCGAACTTCCACGCTGGTGGTAGGTTCTTGTGATGTTCTTACGTGAATTGTACTCTTGCTGGAAGTTGATACAACAACTTGGGGTTGTTCGGTATAAACAGTTGGTGAAAATTCCTCTAGACGTCGCGGATTCTCCTCAACTAAAATAGATCGTCTTTTTCCAGGCGTCGCACCAACGCGTAAACGATGGACTGCTTCCACACTGGTAGTGGGTTGTTGTGAATTTCTTGTATTATTATTTTTTTCTCTTGTTATAACCGGTGACGCCGTTTTACTTGACATTGTGTTACCCATTGACTCTGTATCCCACTCGGATGAATGTCTACCGCTATTGGATTTTGATCGTTCAGTTTGCTTGCTGGACTGCGATTCTTCATTTTCCTTTCGCAATTGATATCTGATGGTATTTAATGTCGCATATTTAGATGCCACTAAACGATCAAAGCTGTCCTCAGATCTGTCATCTAGGGATGACACGGTGTTAGCATCACGTATTTGTTTCTTAATGGTTGAAATTTTTTTGCGTAAACGTCGCTTCTTAAGATTAAACATAGACATTACACCATTTTTACATTTTTTACAAACTTCATTTTGCGGGCGAAAGGCGGGGAAACCTTTTTTAATAAACAGTACCAATTCTGGCTCTGTTATATGTACTGGATCCTCCACTTGATGATTGCCAAGAGGACACCGCGTCATTTGAACAAGCAATAAACCACAACAAATTAATATGAATAAAATAGATAAAAGGGGTTGATTAAAAATATTAAAAGTGCCGAGCAGCGCAAATACACGTACGGCTATGTTAGAACGCGCGCAAACAATGCTAAACAAGCAGCTGTTTAGAAATGTTACAATTATTTTTTAGTACCATACACCGGGATTTCGATTGTTTGACTATTGATTCACATTTTTGATATGTTCTCTTTTTATAAGTACACTCTCTATTCAGCTAATCAGCTGGTTTAGCACATAATTTTTCTCGTACAGAAAAATACAACGCAGAAATAGTTTCTTTCTCACACAATTAATAAGAGCTATATTTTTTAAAAAAGAAATACCTGCCTGAATAATTTGTAATTCTCGCTTCACACACACAAGAAGTTGAATGAATACGTACGGAATAAACGGCAACTCTGATTAACAATCTCATAAGTTATAAAAGAATTAAGGAAATCGTTGTTAAATATAAAGAAAAAGTGGACTTAAATTTTTGGTGACAATTGTCGGAAAATATATTAAAAAAAAAAAAAAACGAGAAAACATGGATCTATGAAAGAAATATTTGCTTACTAAGCTTGTTCAAAATTAATTAGAGTTTGTAATAAAAAGTTTTTTGGGAGGAAAGTTTTGAGTGATCTAACAAGTGTTTTTTTATATAAATATATTTTTTCAAATTAAAATTATTAAAAAAAAAAATGTATACAATTTAAATCCATATGCATCACGAAATGACGTAAACTATAAATCACATCAAAATACCTCCGTTTATTTAATGCGTATAACGATTGTTATTTTGTATTCGTTAACCTAATAAGTAGTTTTGACTGACGTACTACCTGTCCACATTTATACATATATAAATATATTATATATTTATATATACATATATATATTTGATAAAAACGTTGCTTATGTACATTCTGTTCGTGTGTGATTCAACCACATATAAAAAATTCAAAACACGCTAAACGGAGAACATATTTGCATTGAAATACAACGGGAGTGAGTGTGACCGCGCTAGTGTGAGTCATAGTAAATAAGTGAAATGAAAATGCGAATAAAAAGAGAATCACCGTGTCTTTTGCTCAGATTTATGCCAATTACCAAAGTTGGTAAGTTCACCCAATTCACCCAATTACAATTATTACATTTAAAAAAAGGAAATTATTTATTATTATGGTTTGATTTTTGTATAGGCTAAACGACTTAAAAAACAAAAAAAATCAATAATAAATCAATCAAAGGAGGTTTTTCATTATTATTTCTAAATTTTTTGAGCAGTGCTTCATTTTCATTTCTTATATGATAGAAGGCATATATTTAATATGAAATTTAATTGAAACTGATTGCCTTTTTAAATAAGAGCAATATTTTTACATGCTGTCGGTATTCTTACGGATAAAAATAAAAATTTTTATAAAGGTCCAATAATGTATTTTTACACAGACGTATCATACATTCATTTATAATTATACATACATATTTATATTTACATGCATATATATATATATATATATATATATACATTCTTTTGCCACCTTTTTTTTGTGCTTGCAATGTTTATAATGAAGACAAAGAGAAACGGTAAAGATTCAGTGAGTCATTCTTTTTTACGTTGCTTCCTAATATAAACGAACACTTAGTAGACACTAAAATCGCGTTGAAACGACCTTTCGAGTTTTTATTTGTATTTATTTTGTTTTGTTTGCCTGTTGAAAAAAAAAAAATAATAACAACAACAAATACTTACTTTTTCTGAGCGATAAAAGACTCTCTCGGATTCTCTTTCTCTCTCCCTCTCTCTTTCTCTTTATCTTAAATTAGAATTGTGTTGTGTAGTTTCATAAAATTTGTATTTTTCATATATTTTCCGTTACATATATATGTATATATATCTTAATATGAGACCGTGCAGTACAAGCGTTTTTTTTTTTGTTTTTAATTGTCATGTAACGTCGTACAGTCTATGAACTAAGTTCATATAAAGAGCTTTGTAGTTGTAGTTGGAGGTAGAAAAACTTTTGTAAATGCTTAGCAAGGTATTCAGGCGGATTTCGTTATAACAATAAAATACTATACAATACAACAACCATCTTACGAGGATTTCCTTACGACACACACGGCATATGGGGATGCTAATATAAATGCTTCAACGACGACTATAGTAGATGACGTAAAATGTTGCCGGGTAAAACAACTGAATTATGACAAATGTATTGTGGTGCTGTTGCTGCCAAACAGATTGTTTTTTTTTTTTTTGTTTTAAGAACTTCTTTTCATTGTTTTTAAAACTCGATATATAAATCCTTATAAGGGAGTACAAATTTTAAATTAATTTAATTCCTTTAAAATCATAAAATTTTCAGGCTCAAAAGTGAAGAAATCTGAAGCGTAGTATTATCATGAACGATATGCTGCATTGTAACCTAAGTTGATCTATAGTTTTGGCTTATAAGTATGATAGAGTATATAGGTACAAATCTTATATTAAATATTTACAAGTTTTCAGTTGCCCTAGGTCGCACATTGGATACCCTTTATATCCAATCAATGTTCTTTTTTTTTAACATGCGTTGAATTTGTTGTTTGAAGATCATATTTGGTAATGGTTCAAGTAAATGCAAGTAGATGAATATCCATTGCGAAAAGCAATATTTGAAATGTCAAAGCATCAGTCATCGCGATTTCATACGACGCATATGTGCTGATTGGTTGCTGATCGTGGGGATTTTTTAATGAGAAGATTTCTGAACGAGAAACGTAATATTCGTCTGTCTAGGTTTGTAAAAAAACGAACTATCCCATCTAGGGTCTTCGCAAATGCCAGACAAAAGCGTCAAAGAAATTCTGCCACCAACCATAATGAACTCAATACTTTTTTTATTCTGTCGATATAATAGGATCAGATTTATGGGAATCATGCTAGTTGGACCGTTGCATTGAATGGTTTGCGTTACAAAAAGATAATGACTGCTCATTTCGTGACAATAACGCTGTGGGCCTTGACGACATTTAGTTTCAGTAAGAGATGGGGTATGTCGCGTAGCTTTTGCGCCAATTGCAGAGATCCCTGCCAATTATAAGCACGCATGTGAAGGGATCAGGCTTATCTTCAAATGTAGGCTGCTCCCATAGAGTACAACTTTCTGTCTCAATTTCATAACCAGGAATGGACAGATGGATACTATTAACTTATTTCGCTTGGAAGCATAGAACCAACAACAGCATATACACTTTCCTTGTGAGCTTCTCGGAATTGCTCTACCGAAAGTCCATCTAGGTTTCTAAGTAGTCTTAAATCCCCTAAAGAAAACCTCTAAGATTTTATAGCAAAAGTCTTTCCTTTAATTAGATTTTGTTTTAAAGATTTCAGACGAATATTTTTGACAAAAATTTCCATCGATTAGTAATCAAGAGGAATATTTTTAAAATCTTTGTCTTCTTCTCTTTGATACTTTTTGTAACTTTTTTCGCTTTCATTTTGTATTGATGATTCACGCCCACTTTTGAAATTCGTTTATGGAATTGCATCTATGAAATCATTTATTTGAAATAGTTTCAGGAATAATAATAACACAATGACGTGTATATAGAGGTTAATGACGATCGCTTCTCTTAAACAGCAATTATGAATATGTCCGCAAAGGTTGCGCTTAGTCATTGATTTCATGGAAACTCCTTAATATGTCGTTAACTTCCAAGCATTGTGACAAGCAAAGTAAATAGAAACGCATTGTTCTTAGAAAAGGTGCAATAATTTTTTTATGCACTCTACTATAAGATGAAAATGAAGTAGATTCGCCATCATGTTTGCCAAAAATGAAAATATCTTCTCACGAAATTCATAATATTTATATCGCACTCTGATGCGAATCGGCGAAGCACGGAGGTATATTTAATACTTTACCGACCGATAGTCTATTAGTAGGTTTTTTGTTGTTCGCCGACATTGCCGTCGGTTGTCATTTATTAAATGGTATCGAAGTACAAAATTACTTACTTAATCTGTAAACAATTTTATCCGAGTATATGAAAGGCGCAGGCGTGTCGAGCGACAGTTGAGACCAAAACAGGGTCTGCGACGAAACGGGGATAGAGTGTTAATATAACATTTGCCTTTTAAACAGTACCTATGGAGAGGGTTTAAAAAAAACGATGTCCTTCTCAACTTGCGTGCATAAGGAAGAGCTCGCCAAACGAAGGAATACTTCTTCTCGATCTTGTGGTTCCAAAAACGCATATGAAAACTTTTCATTTCAATTGTGGCCACCTCTCGGTGCATATCCAGCTCATAAATTTTTTTTTAACTCTAAAATTCAAAACAAAGCACGCCCACGCTATGTTAACAGAATAATTTCTACAGATCTCATTTTTCATGGATCAATTCTTAAAAGATTTATTGGCTCTATTGTTGCCCCGAACGTCATCTTAAAACAATCTTCTGTCTAAAGCCTGCACTAATACTTTTAGATAAGACATAGCATGTAACACTGGCAGGAGCGCTCTACCATCATAAGTTTGACCTACATGGTTCAGTCCTGCTCATACGAGCCTATATAAAATATATAAAAGACAATTCAGACCCGATGGTAAGCAGAGTTGAAGGTTGACCTATAATGTTGATCTCGCGGTGCCGTGAAAATCCCTATCCGTTAAAAGTTAATTAGAAATGATTCGTAAAGACTCATAGGTCCCGATCAATTTATACTTTTTATCGAAAATATATTTAAGTAAAGGATATCAAAAAAAATTCGCTTTCAATTTTTCTGTTGTCTCTCTTTTTAGATGGTTACAAGTCGCTTCCTTAAGACGAGCGTAGTTTTTCCATTGTAAAGATGATTTATAGTAAACTCATAGAGTCCAGGAACAGAAATTGTTTAAAAAAAAGAAAAAAAACTTCTTTAATTTCTTTTTGGACAACGTGTAGAGCGACACTTGCTGTTATTTAACCCAATTGTTTATTGGTGTTTTTGAAATTCTTTACCGCTCGTTTTGTTTATATTTTCAGAATATAATAAAAAATTGAAAGATAACCTGGAGGCGCCATGTGAAAAAGATGTTACCACATTTTCTCCTAGCGGTCGACCGTCATTGTCACGAAGTTGCAGTAGTCCCGCAGTTTATGGTAAGTTATTTATTTATTTATTTATTTTTTTTGTTGTTAATCATCTTTTACTTTTATTAAAGTATGTTATCGTATTGATTACCGTTATCTAAACGCTACTGCCTTGATTTTTGAAAATGAAATGAGAAAGACAGTACAGGGCCGTTGACCTACATTATGAATAAAATTTTAAATTTCACTCTTGATGGATTGGGGTGACATGCTTAAAATTTTCGTAAGGATTGGTATTTGGCTGGAGTTGACTCTTTTTCTGAATTTTTTTCAAAGAAACTTGTTATTTTCTAGAGAAACTGTAGACTTCAGTTCATGTAATCTCGGAAGGTTCGTTTAAGTCATCAGATTTTTTTTTTTGTTTTTTAAATCATTGGCTTTGCTTCTTATAAGATCATTCTATGTAAGAGAATTCTGGTAACGGAATCGCCGTAGAGACATGCAGAGATTCTATTGAACGCAAACACTTTTCCACTTTGGATTTGCTTAGGACCATAGAGCAGCGGTCATTGGACTTGAAAAATTCCTTATCCGAGATATTCCGTTATACATATAAAAAAACGTCGTAGTGGCCGTGTGGTAAGAGCCACGACAACCAAGTCAGTGTTCGAGGGATCAAATCTCAAATGCGTTAGAGTTTCCTTTGGTCATAGCTATAGCGAGTGGTCAAGCGATAAAGGCATAACACTTATCAAGCGGGCGCAGTAGGCTGTGGACACCATTTTCTCTATCTACTTTTCTTTCCTCTTCTTCTCTGACTGCCACCCGCGTTACACGAAAAGGAATATCCCCTATCTGATCAGTCCATTATGCAAAAAAAAAAAATCCAGAAAAGAAAATATAAGAGATGTTGACTTCTTAACGCGACCATTTCCTTGGTCTACGGTAAAAATAGTTTTGAGTTTATTCAACTATTTTACGAGTGGGTACTCAGTCAGTGAAGGTGTATTATTCATATATCCTTCTCGTTGCTGTCTTCTTTCTGACCGTGTTTCCCTGTTACATGAATAAGGTGCGTCCCCAGAATAATGGCCAATGATAAAAAAATCTCGAATATTACGTTGCCTCCGCCAAAATCCCCCTTTACCTTTGCTTTCTGATATTTGCAGATGACCATTTGGAGAGTTTTTATTGGTGAAAAAAGCTCCAAGTCCTGTGACTATGAAGTTGTACTGTAACACCTGGAACCACACCAATGGAAAGAAGAAGAAACAAGTTTTGAGTCAATCTTCTTTTGATCGGGGAGGGGGTCGTTATATAACTGCAGTGCCGATTTCCTAGCTAGCTACTTCAGCGCTCGAAACTAGAGAAGTTTCGTACGCCTGCGAATGACGCTATATCCGACTCGTGCACCACCGAGAATCGTTAAGTATAGACGCATAGATATCCACGTTTAACCTTCAGAAACTTCCGTACGTAAAATAAAGGACTTAGAGATTTCGCGAGTGAAAAAAGGGAAGCTTCATTGATAATTGAAAAAGAACACTTACTAGCTCTAATCACCTAAGAAAGGTACAATTTTAAAGGATTTAGGTTTCACTGAAAGCAGTTGGAACAACGCTTGGTTTTGAAAGAAAATATTTAACATTAGGTGTTGAAATATTTATGAGACATGCACGGGACGGGCACAACTTGCTACTAAACCCATATTTTTGATGTTATCAATTCAATCGCTACGTTAGTCTGCGAAGTTTTAGGTTAGTTCAGAATAATGAAATTCAAAATACTCAAATTCATTCTGAATGCGAAGATATATATTAAAGTAATCAACGCTGTCTGTGCTGTTTTTTTAAAAAACTTTCTTAAAAAAACATTTTAAGTTAATTTTTTCTTTATGTCATTGCGTCTTATTTTGATTTTATTGCAGATATTGAAACACATCCCGCTTCACCGGTCTTTCCGCACTTACTATTGGGTAATGGTCGCGACGCTGACGATCCCAGCAGCGTCGGGGCCAATTGCGTTTTAAATGTTACCTGCCAAGCCCCCAGTACAAATCATTTGTCGGGACTTAAATATATGCAAATACCCGCCAGCGATACACCGCATCAAAATATTAAGCAATATTTCCAGGAAGCTTATGATTTCATAGGTAAGTGAAAACAGAGAGTTCCTTAGTATTGAAAGCATTAATATTCTAAGCAGCTAAACTTTTCCCACCCGCCAGCCATCAAAACAAGCAATTAACTATAAAAGAGATTTCCCGATAGTGTTAGAAAGGGAAAGTGCATTGATAGATATTAGTAATTGTATGCGTCTTCGAATTATAATTATTTAACCCGTTCGCTACGGGGATCTGCTGGGAAAAAGCATCCAATAAAGCTCAAGATTTTTTATGATGAATAGATTTTCCATTCGATGCTAAGATAATCGTACACTGAATCGACAACTGGTAACTCGCTACTCGACACAACGACTTAATAATCGATAGATATAAACCGATCCCCGTCCTCCCTACACGTGCATTAATTCGTCAATATGTAGTAAGAAACGACCGTCTCACATATATGTGACGCTTGGTAGCGTACGAGTTAAATAAAGCTAATGCGTTATGAAAAAAAATATATAAAGCACGAAAATGTGACTTAAAGAAAACATGAAATTTGCTCAGCTATTATTTCTATGAATTTTAATAAAATATTTTTACAAATCGATACCATGGACGCCTCCCACTGTTTTATGCTTCTCTAACAGTTTGCAATAAAAAAGGAAAAAAGTCAATTCCAAATATATATCCAGTAAAGCCTTTCACTTATCTATCCAAACATGCAACTAAGCATATAGAATACAATAAACGTTCATACGTGAGCACATTGTACGCTCTTCTCTTGCGCGTTCCTTTTATTTATTCCAAAAAAAAAAAAAAAAAACATATTACTACACGAACGCATCACTTAAGTAAGCATATACTTTTTTCTTTCGCTCTTGCCCTTTCGCTCTCTCCCTAACCTTATGTTTAAATGAGATTATGCTGAGGGCAAATCACTTATTTATTGAAATTGAATATTTGAAAGTCTAGAGCCCTAGTCTCTCCTCATATTATAGAAATATGTCTGACGTTTTTTGTTTATTCGTTCATTTTTTTCAAAATAACTTACATTAGCGCAAGCAAGCACGAGAGCTAATGCTTCGATGAGTCATTTTAGCATTCAACTAATTTTGTTTACAATGTACGAATTTATACTCAATACTATAGATTAAAATGCATGCTCAGTTCAATGAAGCGTTTATAAAGAAAAAATCAAAAAAGGAATGGTAACCAGGTATGATTACGTAAACAGTTTTTTTTACTAATTTAATAAATATTTTTGAAAGAAAGACGACATCGGACCTTCCTAAAAGGCACAGTTAAGAGACTAACACCAGCCAGAAAGGAATTGTTATTTCAAGTCTGGCGTTCTATATTTTTCCATACTTTCCTTCTAAGTTGTTCTATTACTGCTAAGAAGGAAGCGTAAATGAATAAACGACAATTAAAAAGCAAGGTCAACACTCACGCATTCTCTCCTTACATACGTATATGCTAAGATTTCCGCAAAGACTCTAAGCGACGACGGTTTAAACAAAGCTCCTCCCGCTTTTTTACATTCACCCTCGAAGAACGGGGATTTATCCATTTTGTCAGAACCTTTGCAGCAAAGGCCCCTTAAAGAAATAAATATTCTTAATCAGTATCCAATTCTAAGTCGTTATAAGCATATTCGTGGTGAGCATTTCTCTAGCCAAAGTTATCGCACAAATGTTGACAGTGAGGGTAGCCCGAATGGATCAAGGAACACGTCTACAATATAAAAGCAAAAAAAGATAAGCAATTAGTGTTCGCGCGTTGAAGTCTCAAGTGCGATGGAACTTGTTTTGGTAATAGCTACGGTATAGTGCTCAGCCGGTAAAGGCATAACACCTACAAATTGGGCGCACTAACTAACTATATTTGCGGCCACGTCCTAGTACCTATAACTTTCTTTTCGCTGATTTCTCTTCCCTCTGATCATCATCGTTGTTGCACGAATATGGTACAATACCTGCACAATTGATCATATTTCAAAAAAAAAAAAAATTTTCAGACAAAGGTCTTAGATTGAGAAGACATTTTTTTATGTCTACGCTAATGGTGTACGCTTAGTGTGCTAAATATTCCAGATAAACCTATTGGAGAGGATAAGATAAAATTAAACGAATATTTCTATCGGGGAATGGGGATTACTCTATTAGATAAAAGACGGTCTTTCAAGGAGAGTTTCTCATTCGAGTTATGTGCCAAAAGATTATAAACGTAGTCAGTTTTCATAAGGTCAGTTTCAGTCCAAAAGTTAATTAGTTAACATGGCAATCGTCGAATCAGCGGAACTTTCGTAAAGGAGTAACACTATTACACATTTAGCCCGAGAACAACATCGAACTCTCACTCGTTATAGTTGAAGGGATTGTTTAACTATTTATCGGCTAAGGTTTTCGAATGTTCAGAAGGAATAGGTTTGCTTTTCTCTTTTTTCAGTGCGAGACGCGATTGCGCATCGATCAATTTTTGAAAATATCGCAGATTTTATTTATCATACACTGGCATCATGATGAACGATATTAATATAATAGCTATCGTTAAAAGACCCTATTCTAACCATGGTCTACTAATACATTTCAGATCAGGTGAATGTTTATATTGGAAGTGACTGTTCATAATGCAACCTTTTTTTTGGATTGTACTATCCACGTATTGTGTGATATATACGAGACATATTAAGTAAAATTTCCAGCGAATGCTTACATAAACCTTGACACCTAATAGTCGTCGCTTTTTTTTTTGTTTTCTTTTTGATGGCATATTATTATTCGTTTATTTAGAAATTTTATATAGATTTTTGAAATTTTTCTCATCTTAAACAAGGCTTCTAATACATCACATTAAGTTACAAATTGGTAAATTACTGGAACACTCCTTTAGTTTTACTTATCGTCATAAACCTAATCGCTTTTCGTTGATTGCATTTCTACAGCTTAAGCTCGTAAAATATTATGAAATATAAACATTGGTTCAGAAGCAGAAAGTTAAAACGCTCCAGCTCTACGATACTCTTTGGCATAATTTTATTTCTTATATTTCTATAAACAATATTAGTAAGACTTAGTATATTTGAGCGTTAAGATTGATTCCGAATTTTAACCAATTAACGCCCGGTTGACATATTTCGCTATAGAGCAATTTCGCCCGATTGACATATAGCAACGCAATATAAAACATTACGTTACAGATATTTCAATGTTAGCATTTCTGAAAGTAATTCATAGATTCTTTTGTAGATTCATCCAAAAGTTGCGCTTTATTCCATGACTACTCATAACATCAGAAAATTTTCCATTGAACACACAATTCAAATTATCATATGGAAAAAACATTCATTCTATTTTTAATCATTTTTCTCTTGTCAAAATTAAATTGAACTTGTGACTTTTTGTTTTTGCAGAGGATGCTCGTAAAACTGGTTCACGTGTTCTATTACACTGTCACGCAGGCATATCACGCAGTGCTACTATTGCAATTGCGTACGCAATGATTTACAAATCGTTATCACTGCTTGAAGCCTATAAATTGGTTAAAATAGCACGTCCCATTATATCGCCTAATTTAAATTTCATGGGTCAATTATTGGAGTTAGAACAAAGCTTACGTACAAGCGGAGTTTTGGAACCTCTCCCACCAACTTTAAATCCCGCTAATTCATCTAGTCAAGGAACCATTACAAAAGCTGGGAAAAATGATACCGAAATGTCACAGCGTGATAGTGATGATTGTGAGAAAAATATGTGCTCATCGCGTCTAACCTCTTCTTCGATGGAGTTATGCGATGATGACATGAGCAACAATATCGCATCTATGACGGCGACTGATGAACCAATTTCACCGATATCTACCCGTTCGTCTACCTCACTGACGCTAGCGTCATCAGCGCTGACTTCTTCTGCCCGCCCAATACGATTTAAGCGTAATTCTCCTGCAAAGCTGCGGCTTAATTTACAATCGAATTACGCACCGATACCCAAATCATTGTCCTGCATGTCAATACATAATGCCAGTACAAGTCCAGTGTGTAAAACGGCACCAGATACGCCATCTTCTTGTTGCGAGATGTCAATTAACAATAGTGAATGAAAAAAGTACTTAAGATCGCACACACGTCACATTGTGTCCTTCTCTTCTTCCCAATATAAAAATTATCAGGAATTTGTGAGCTCTCAACGTTTTGCATCGCATTGGTTTTAAATGCAATTTTCATTTCAAGATTGCCTTTCATATCGGTATTTGAGTTAAAGAGGACCAATTTAATGATATATCACATAACTAAGAGCAAATCGGATTCACTCACTGAAATGAGAAAATGTAACAATCACTTCAAATCGTCTGTTAAATACACAATGCAATGCGTACGTTCATGTACGCTTTTAATTCAACTTTGATGCGCTTCGTTCCTTTACTTTTGACGACTACAAGTAAAAAATAGCTAGAAAAATCAAAACAAGTTGTGCGTTTAGGACGAACGCCACGGGTTGAGCTCATATTGAAAAATAATGCAAAATTAATAATTAAATTAAAATGAATGATGTATTGATGCATACCACACAAAAAAAAAAAAATTGACTATATCTCGGATGGTTAACAAACCAATAATAGGATGAAAATGTATGAGAGGAACACAGGAAAAGCCAAAAATATACAAAAATATGCTACTTAGTACATGAATGGATTTAACCTCGTTAAATCTGTTGGAATAAACAAAACCCAGATGTAACCTATAGATGCAATCAATTATAATATTGGACATCACCATCTTCATTGTCGTTTTTTAGCGCCGACAAAGCAAATGAAATTGTGAAATTGTGCTTTGCTATTTGAATTTTCAATGAATCGAATGTCATTCTAATGCGCCCAATGCTTTAACAATCAATTACTCATCGTCTATATGGCAAATTAATTAAGCAAGAGATTTAGATATAACTTGAGTACAAAATTAAAAAAAAAAAAAAAAGAAAAGAAAAAACTTTTGTTTTCATTTTTCAATTTTTTCTTTCTCATATCCACCAATATCCCATAAGAAATACTCATCCGAGTCGGCTTAAGCTATACATCATTTTTGATAAAAATGTCATTGTTCGTCTGTATAACGCAAATAACAACAATAAAAAAAAAGGGAAACTAAATAAAAAAGCAAAAAGAGGAATAATTTCTCTCTCAATAATTTACGATCTATATACAACATATCGTTTTGAAATTTTGAAATTTTATACAAATACCAACCATATAAACATATGGTAAGCAAATCTATACAAAAAAAAAAAAAAGAAAAAAAAAGATATGAAAAAACAATGCAATTGTCATTTCTAAAAATCGGAATTGTAAAGACGTTGTAAAGTTTACTTTACTTTTATTCCTAGATTCCTCTACACTCAAAACTATTTTAAAGTTTTTGATTTTATGTAAAAAATATGCCAAAAACAAAAAAAGAAGAAGAAACTTGCATTCCCCATGCTCCCGTTTGCTGGAATTTGCTTTCCTCCTTAGATACGTTTCATTTTCACACCAGAAGTTCATAGGGCAATTATATGAAGTATAAGTAAAAACAAAAGTAAAAAAAAGTAAATAAATAAATTATCTGACAAATATCTGATTATTTTTTATTATATATATATATTTATATTTTTATATATATGTATGTAAACACAAATATGAAAGCCTTGCGTGCTTTTTTCTAAATTTTATGAAAAAAAAAAAATTTACCATCACTTAAATATCATTAAAGAAAAAAAAAAAAAAATTTTATTTCCAAAGATCTGCGCCATCAACAAAACTTACATAATACTGTAGAACAGGTGCATAGTTCTTTATAATATTTATAAATTTATGTACGTACGTTATTAACTTAAATGAATCTGTATTTTTAAGTTAAAGAATTAAAAACAAAAAGAGAAGATTTAAATATGGCAAAGGATGATTTTAGAAAATTTGCTTATATTTTTAACAAATTAAATAAAATGCAAAAGAGAAATTTACATTCGCCGTATCAAGCGAATTTCGAATACACTTACAATCTAAGATATATTAGGCCTATATAAGGATTAATTATGGATAAATCGGCATTCTACGATTACCCTCGTCTATGTTTCTTGACCATCAACGTGTTTACATCCATTGAATGGTTTGTCATTTAAAAAAACAACGTTCAACAATGTTATAGCCGGGCAAGATGAACTTTTAGATAGACTACACCACTTCGTTTAATAAATAATACGCAAAAAATTATACATTATTTTGATATGAATGCATAATTTTACTCAAAGGTGTCGAATTGGCGAACACTTGAATGTTCACGTGTTCTAAATTGAGACAACGTAATTTACTTTGGAAAGGTCTTATCATTGCTCCCGTCAAAACAAACCATAAATTAGGCTTTGTCGCTATAGAAAGATTTGCTTTTATTAGAGCACTCATCTGGTGGTCTAAAAAGATAAGTCCAAATTCCCTATGATTAATTTACTAGAAACAAATTTTCATCATAATATATGAAACCACTTTTAACACGAAAAGCGTTATGCTATATGAGTTGAAATCGAAAAAATGGACCCACGCGTTCCAGATTCAGTAGGGACAATAATTTTGCCAAATTTTTATAAAGAAATTTTCATCAAGAGGTATAGAAAGCAGGCCCTTCTTATAGACAGCCTTCAAACTATACTTTCGTAATTCGTTCCGAGACATCATTTACTTTATCATTATCATTGCCTGACACTATGACTATTTCCATCGACTTGTTTACATGGATTATTACTACATCGATCTCCTTTTGTAAATTCCGAATATTTGTACCATTGCGGCCAAGTCGTCCTAGACATATTTCAACTGATTTCTTAAACTTGAAATGTTTACTTACAGCGTCATCGCTGACATTGTTTTTGCTTCTATATTTGTCGCTCTCATTATTCATGTTTGCCATGATTTGTAGCTTCTAGCAAATCCTGATTTATTATACGAAAAAAAAAAAATGAGCCTGCTGACAAGGTCAATATGATCGGATGACGACAACAGTTTATATAGTGAAAGTAGGGTCGTAGGAGCAATCAGCTCTTATTTCCCTTTTTAAAATTTCTCTACTTAATATTTTTTTTCCTTTTCTCCCTTTTCTCTAGATAAGAACTTACTGAACTTACCAGCTTAATACGTAAACAGTTTCGAGAAAAATAAAATATTTTAGAATTATATGACTTGAAGAAAAAAGAAGCAGGTTGTCAATGTTCACGACTCAATACAAGCGTTTTAGTAAAGCTTCAAATGTATTGAAATTGCTTGGAGAAGAGTTTGTCAATTCCACCTTTATTCGATCTAAAATTGTTTGGAGAAGAGTTTCTCATTATTAATGTGATCTTTCCCTTAATTAAAAACTAAAATATATGTATAGTTCTGTTCCTCTTTTTATCGTGAGTATCTCTCTAAATATAAATTATTTTCGTGTTTAGGTTTTTAGGCAACGAAGTGTATGTCTCTTAAAAAAAATTTGCTCATTAATAACTAAGATAGCAAGCATCGCAGATTTTAAACAGTCTTGTCCATGTCTTCTTATCCCTACTTAACTCGGGCATGAAAATATAACTAAATGAATAGTAGCAAATTAACTAAGCAATTTTTCTAAGAATTATCAATTAAAATTTGTAGGTAGTGTGTGGTCATTTAAAAGAAAAACATTGCTTAAATATATTTATACCTCTTCAAAATTTATTCAATAATTTTCAAACCACCCGCTATATTTCTCAAATTCATATGATTTCAAAATACTTTTCTTCTTCTTATTCATCTTTACTTACACCAGATTATCACCCAGGGTTGCCATACAGAGTTCTCTCTAATGATTGTATATACATTCCATGCACTTTTCGTAATTTTTGCAACTCTGCCTTCCCGCTTAAATGTTAATAGAGATTAGAATAATATTAATTATAAATAAATTGCTTGGCCATATAAGACACAAATCTAATGGCTTAGTCCATCTCCACAAAACAATCCAAAGAAAATATAAATAAATAAAAAAATTGCTTACAAGCCATCTAAAAAAGACAAACGGTTGATTACTGCCTTCCTCAATTAAATGCCAACAAATGTGATCGAAACCATCTTTACCGCTTGCACCTACTACAAATACAAAAAGTTTAAAAAGTATACAAAATCATGGAATTTAATAAAAAAGTTAAAATAGAACGCAATGCTGAATACGATCATTTAGAGAAGAAATATCCTCATAACGTGCTTTTATATGAAGAAACTCCAACAGATACCATAAAACTGGAGGAATTCGAACAAGTAGCTCTTCAACGTTTACAAGTATTACGTATTTATGAACAGGCCCAGGCAAGAGGTTTGCGTTTATTAACCGATGAGTGGAAAAGTTTTGTACAAAGCGAATTGTCCAACGAAGGATTGAAGGGTTATCTGCGTTTAATAACTAACGCTGGCATTGGCAATAACATCAACAATACGACCAACAGCAGTAAATATGAATTTGAGCTAGAATCAAGGAGAAAGGATTATTTGTCCCATTTTATATTGCGATTGGTCTATTGTAGGTCAACTGAATTGATTCGGTAAACATATCTTTATATATATACATACACATACAGGAGTGAATATTATTATTAATAAATATGAACTTATAGATGGTTTGTCACACGGGAACTTGAATTGTTTAAGCATAAATTCTCGTCGATGACAGCGAGTGAAATTAAGCATTTCATTAAATTGCATCAACTTAACTATATGCCATTGAGCCAAGAAGAGAAGCAATCATTAAAAGAAGATCTGATCGAGAGCACTGTTGGTTATAGTGCTGCGTTGGTGGAAACATTAGATTTTTACAAAGTACCTTTCACTCAAGTTTTAGACTTAGTACGTACACGACGCTGTTTAGTTCATCGTGGATACTGTTACATTACCATACATGATGTAATTTCGATAGCCGCTTCAAAGCAACAAGAACTTATTGAGAATGGTTTGGATTGTGTTAAATTGCTTATTAATGAAGTGGACACAGATGAGCGGCTTTATCGTTTCATTAAATCGTTGCATACGTCGTACACGGGCAAGGATTACACAATTAGTAAAAACGCAAGCGTTCCAATCGAATGCTTAGATGACTTGTCAAATAAATCATTTCCTCTTTGTATGAAGGTATGTCATGAGCACATTCGAACACATCATCATTTAAAGCATGCCGGACGTATGCAATATGGACTTTTCTTAAAAGGAATTGGTGTAACTATGGAAGATTCCGTACGCTTTTGGCGTGATGAATTTATTAAAATGATGGATGCAGAGAAATTTGCCAAAAATTATCAATACAATATTGAACATAACTACGGTAAAAGAGGTTCTATGACGAATTACACGCCGCATTCCTGTTTAAAAATTATAAAAGAAGTAGCTACACCCGGTTCAGCCAATGGTTGTCCCTATAGGCTCTATGATCAGAATACCCTCAGGCAAAAGTTAAGTTCAATTGGTTTATCGGTTGCTCACATTCAAGATGTAATGCAATATGTGGCAAAGGGTCACTACCAATTAGCATGTGGAAAATTCTTCCAAATTTCTCATAATTCGCCGGACGAAGTGGCGATTAATCATCCAAATCAATACTTTGAATTAAGCCAGACTTTGATGGGTCAACGTGGTGAAAGCAAAACAAAACGTTTACCATCCAAGACGGCAAAGAAAAATGATTTAGATACTGTTTTCGATAATGAACTCTGGGATGTCGATATGCCGATAGATAATGAGGAAAATCTGAATAAAACGAGTTAACATTCAAAAACGACATTTTCCAATCGTTTTGCATACATTCATATATTGGTACCAACGAAATAAATATATAAAGTCAAATATTAAAACCAACAGCTAAACTATCACTGTCTTCTTTTTTTTTAAATAGCAATGGAAATATTTGATCAATAAGCTAAGCTTTGCAGGCTTAGCTGGTCTCTTCTAATTAACAAGAATTTGCATTGAAAACTGCCTTGACAACAACCTGCGCGTTGCGCGAGGTTGTTTTAATATTATCCTTCAGGGCATGTAGTCTCATTCAAAACAAAAACTTCAAAAATCATTTGAAAGAATCTACCAGGATCTCCACGTGGGCACAGGAAAGTTGCGAATTTCATATTGTTTGCCTGTACAAAAATATTGTGATTTCTTCACACGAAAGCAAATCAATTATCGAAAAGTTAATAGTTTCTTGACTAACATCTCTCTTTTTTTTGTGAAGATGAGCAAAAGTTAGATTCCTTACAAGATATTCACATTTGTACAAATGTGATGATTTTAAACAACGCTTTTATTATATAAGTTTATACTCCATATATATAATCTAATTAAAAGAATTCAAGATAATGAAAGGAATAAAATAGGTATCACATTCCAGTGTTTTTCTTCAATTGCAATGTGAAAATTAAAGTGAACCAAAAATAATAGTAATACAAATAAAATGCGTGTTGCTTTACATTTTAGTAATTGCGGTTACCATAGGACCGATTACCGCCACCGCCCCCGCCGCGCCTGCCTTTCATGCCGTTAAATTTTGACATTTCGTCTGAACGTCTTTCTTTCATTTTATTATACCTCTCGGCCATATCAATAAGCTCCTCAGGTACCTGCTGATTAGCTTCTTCCATGATTTTGATTAACTCAGGAGCCATCGCCCAATCGGAACGCGTTAAGTAGCTAATCGATGTGCCAGTGCGGCCAGCACGTCCAGTCCGACCTACGCGGTGGACATACTCTTCGATATTGCGGGGAAAATCAAAGTTGATAACATGCCTGGAAACATGTGCTTGTTATAAGTTATCATTTACAAAACAAAAAAAAAAAAAAAACACTTACGTTATGTCATCAATATCTAAGCCTCTAGAAGCTACATCAGTAGCTATGAGAATTTTTACATCTCCGGAGGTGATATCGGCGATAGCCTGCTCGCGATCAGCCTACAAATCGTTTATTTAGTGAGAATGTAAACTTAAAAATATTATCTTTGTTTCATGGCAATTACCTGATCTCGTGAACCATGTATGGCTTGGCATAGAAAACCGTCGAGAGTTAAATCGCTCGAGAGATCATCGGCCCGTACTTTTTTTCCGCAAAAGACTATCAATTTATCATCAGGTTGCATATTTTTAATGAATGATTTGATCTGCAATTCATGTACATTTGTAAAACCAAACTTTAAAAAAAACCGGATAATTCATAAAACTTCTAACCATATAAAATTTCTCGTCTTCTTCCACAACTTCTACCACTTGACGAACTGAGTGGGTAGCGGCCAAATCCAATGATCCCACACAAACTTGTATTGGATTACTCATATAACTCTGAGCTAAACGACGCACGCCTGGTGGCCAAGTGGCGCTAGTCATAATAGTTTGACGATCAGGACGTATATCTAATAAAACTTTCCGGATTTGTGGTTCAAAACCCATGTCCAACATTCGATCTGCTTCATCTAATACCAAATAAGTGACTGTAGTCACATCAATTACATTAGCTTGCACCAAATCGTTCAAACGGCCGGGTGTACATATAATAACTTCAACCCCGCGTTCGACATTTTGAATCTGATCGTTACGACTTCCTCCGCCATAAATGCAAACCCTGCAATTTCATACGTAGGAGAAGATGTGAACTAACTAAGCTTTACTAAGACGACATCGGAAACTTACGCTTTAATTCCACGAAATGAATACTTATTAACTTCTTTCTCAATTTGCAAAGCTAACTCACGAGTGGGCGCCAATATAAGCACATTCGGACCACCCCGTTCAGATCGTGGGATGCTTTGATATTCAATGTGGATTAAAGCTGGCAGTAAGAAAGCTAAAGTTTTGCCAGTGCCTGTTTGTGCGATACCGATCATATCTTCGCCTTTGAGTAAGATAGGCCAAGCCTGTGTTTGTATAGGAGACGGTGTTTGGAAACCTTGTTTTGCTACTTCATCTAAAAGATCTGGATACGGAGCAAAACAATGTTCAAATTTCCAAATAGGATTCGGAATGTTGCCAGGTTGATCGTTCTCCTGGGTAAAGACGCGTCCCACAGTGATATTATTGTTTTCTAAACGAATTCGTGCTACTTCATCTTCACCTATATTGGTTACTTCTGGATCTTCTTTGTAGAAATTTTTGGTAAGTTGCGGGCATTTTGCCCATCGTTCTGCTCTTTCTATATCAGCCCTTGCATTTAATGCAGTCCAGTCAATCACACCGTCTTTGGCAAAAAGTAGTCCTTGGTTATTTTCTTCATAAAAATTATTTCCATTACGAGGAGTTTCCACGTTAGCGCCATTAACCTGATCATCTAATACCTCACTACGATACTGATGGTGTCCCTGATTATATCTATCATTATGGAATTGATTTCGGTTACGTGTACCACCATTATATTGACGCTGACCATCGTTACATTCGTTCATTTGCTGCTTAATACGTTCTACAGCGCCATTTACGCTATCACTGTCATTGCCTAAGACTGTGGCAATTCCTTGGGACTTATCCAAATCGATTTGAACATCAAATTCGGTTTGCAGGCCTTGAATATTAGAACCCCCCCGTCCTATAATGCGGCCTATACATTCTGTACGTAAATCAAGAGATTCCTTAAAATCAAAATGTCGGCCGATAGCGCCATCTCTACCCTTATTTTTGTTGTTGTAATTCTCGCGTTCTCCACGTCGGTTATCATCGGATCGCTTATTCATACCTTGCGTACGATTCGGATAACGTCGTGCGTTATTCCTGTTTGATGTAAACCGAGGTTTCTCGTTATAGCCTGGCGCATTATCGGCATTATCGTCCCATTCATACATTGTAAAAATTATTTCCCTTTAGAATATTATAAATTAATTTTTTTGCTCTTGTTTTTCATTTTATCAAATATCCCCTTTTTATAAAAAAAAAAAAAACTTACCAACTTTTTGCGCGAGACACCTTCCTCTAGGCAATTCTGTGAGAAACAAAAATTATTTAGTTGACTTGAAGGAAGAAAAGAAAAGTCAGTGTTGTTAACATTCATCAATTCGATATAAGCCTTATGATAGAGTTTCAACCCCTATTAGGAGAAAAATTTCTCATAAATTTAATGCTCATTTCTACGTGCTACATAAAATCCGGGAATTTCCCCATTTGCTATTGATGAAGGGATGATGTAATTGCCTTGTAAACATATTCTTCGCTTATATGAAAATCCAATTTTTGTGGACAACATTCAAAAATAGAGTATCCACACTACTCTTACGTTAATCTAAGTCTTATTATTCCGCTATATTTAACTGATTTCAAGAAACTCAGTATTAAAATCTTCGGCCAACTTTGGGAAGTTAATACATCTCCAAGAGATCAAATTTATTTTTTCAATTTCCTAGAAAAAAGGATTTAGAAAGCCTTTAATTCGCAATCTTTAAGTTTGTCTTAGGCATACCTTGGCAATCTTGCAAGTTTAACTTTGCGGTCGCACAGTGAAACGGTCTCATTTATTTTAATGTATTCTTATTAATTGACATCATTGGCATCGAGGTAGAAAATTGAAAATGGCGTTTCTTTTGTTGTCCGTGGAAAATGTGTGTGTGTACAATGAAGTGAAAATTTATGTATTTTGTTTGCCATCAATCGTTTAAAATACTTGCAGTAATTAACACAAAACAAAAAAAGAAACAAAAAAAAGTTGAAATAGCATAAGTAAATATTTTTTTAATCTCGTTTAGTTGTGTTATATTGAGTGTGAAAGCGATTTTATAGGATGGGCAAGCAAAAAATGTAAAATAACTTAAAAAGTGATTGATAGGGTTGAATGTATCGCGGATCATAAAATTCTTATATGTATTTAGTGTTTAAGTTAAAGGGGTGGTAGAAGCATTTTGAAGTATATATTGGCAAAGTTTAACGCATAAAAATGCCCAGTGCATCATTTACATCTTCACGCTCTTATGTGCGACGATCAAGACGAAAGGGGGTCAATCGAATCGCTTTACCAAATCGTCCAACTGGTACGGGCAAAAGATTGCAAATAATTACTTTTATAAAAAATTAAATAAAAAATTTTTCTTTTTGTTAAATATCGATATATTGCAGAATCTATGCTTCAAAATGTGAGCGGTACAAATACGGTTAGTTCTCCTTCAAATCCCGGAAGCAATATGACACAAAATCAAACTGCAATGAATTCTACAAGCTTGTCGTTACCTTCGACATCGACATCCACAAATAGCTCAGGTATTTCTTCCAGTTTAGTGCACGGTGCAAATTTGTTAGGTCCTGATAGCGGTGGCCCGTCGTGTTCCCGCAGCCATTCGGGTAACAGTAATAGTTCGAGCTCGTTTGCTTCATCTTCAAGTACTGCTTTTAGCCATATTATAAGTTCTAAGAGTTCGTTGGGTGGCGGTGTTTCTATGATGAATTCGTCCGATTTTCTAGCAATGCATGTCACGGAAAGCCAAGATCAAGCCGCATCTAGTTCAATAAGTGAAATGGGTGAGTTGAATGGTTTTTGCGTGAAACTTTTAAATCCAATGACGGGCACATCAACGACATCATCATCATCGTGTTATCAATCGCCTTACGATTTACGAAGTAAACCTCCAGCAATAAGCAGTCATGAGCATTGGATCTGTACAACAACAACAGCGTCGGCATCTTCCTCGAGCACAATTTGTTCACATGCATCAAATAGTGCCAGTGCTAGCACCGGAGTATCACCTGGTGTCATTGTAAGTCCCTCTTCCAATCAACAAACATCAGCAAATCAATTAACAATTGGTGGTACGTCGACCGTAAATTCCACCTCTTCAAGTTCTTCAACTGCCATAATTCATGCTCCCTCAACGAATGCAACGTTTCCAGTTAATAATGCTCATACAACAGGATCACCACTCTCTAATCCGCCTACAGTTCATAGTTCTATACCGCAACAGCATTGCAGTGCTCTACCTATTGGCGGTTCAGATAACAACAGTTTTTTGTTACCGGCTCGCAAGCGTTCACGTCGTTTATACACACAATCTGTGGAATCGTGTTTGTTGTCGTCAGCGGAAATGTCCATTAGTCATGTAGGGCCATCCGCTGCTCAGTATTTACAATACGAACTACCAGATGAAGTGTTATTAGCGATATTTTCATATCTTTTCGAAAAGGATTTGTGCCGTTTAGCTCAAGTGTGCAAACGCTTCAATACAATCGCTAATGACAGCGAGCTTTGGAAACGTTTATATCAGTCAGTGTTCGAGTACGATTTACCGCTTTTCAATCCACAACAATGCAAATTTATTTTCGAAAAACCTGAAGAATGTGAATATGCTAATCCTTGGAAGGAAAGTTTTCATCAACTTTACCGCGGCGTGCACGTTCGACCCGGTTATCAAAATAAAAAATATCCCGGTCGCAGTATCGTGTTTTTCGATACTGTACAAGCCGCTCTTGATTATCCAGAAGAAAAATCTGTTGCTGCTAACGCTTCCTCGACATCATCGAGTGCTATTATCAGTGCTGGTTTATCAAATTCGGCATCGACTGGTTCTAGTGCAAATTTATATGAAGACAACGAAACGCTCTTAATGCATCCGGCGCCTTTAATATTCCTTCATGCAGGTCATTATAAAGGCGAATATTTATTTATCGATTCTGATGTAGCGTTGATAGGTGCTGCTGCTGGCAATGTTGCCGAAGCTGTTGTATTGGAACGAGAAGCTGGCTCCACAGTAATGTTCGTGGAAGGTGCAAAATCTGCTTATCTCGGATATTTGACACTTAAATTTTCGCCAGATGTAACTTCTACTGTATCTCACCATAAACACTATTGTCTCGATATTGGTGAAAATAGTTCGCCAACCATTGACAACTGCATTATACGCAGTTTATCGGTTGTGGGCGCAGCCGTTTGCGTTGGAGGGGTAAATGCAAATCCCGTTATTCGCAATTGCGATATAAGCGATTGCGAAAATGTTGGTCTGTACGTCACAGACTACGCCCAAGGAACATATGAACACAACGAAATTAGCCGTAATGCTTTAGCGGGTATATGGGTAAAGAATTTCGCAAGTCCTATTATGAGAGAAAATCATATTCACCACGGGCGCGATGTTGGCATATTCACATTTGAAAATGGAATGGTAGGAAAAGTTCAAATACAATTTTCTTAAATAGCTTTTATATATAATTCGCTGGCTTTTTGTTTTTTTTTTCCCCCCAAAATAGGGTTATTTTGAGAAAAATGACATACACAATAATCGTATAGCAGGATTTGAGGTGAAAGCCGGAGCTAATCCTACAGTAGTTAAATGTGAAATTCATCATGGCCAGACGGGAGGCATTTACGTTCATGAAAATGGTTTGGGACAATTTATTGAAAATCGCATACATTCAAACAATTTTGCAGGTAAGCAGACTGGGTTTCTTTATTATACGCAAGTTAATGTGCATTGATTTTCTTATCTCGAAGACTCTACTAGTATCGTGCATATATCTTCCACTCTCTGTTTTCTATCACATTATTTGCAATGGAGCGTGATTTTGTGTCTTTGATTGGCTAAATTGTAAAACCGCATTATAATTGGTGAATTGATGCTCGAAATACGAATTTTCTCTTTGGGCCGATACTTTAGCAAAGAGGGCTTAGTTTCTCTTGATACGGGTCAATTTTGTCTCAGCGTACACTTCACTTAACTTTGATTAAATCATAAATGGTCTTAAGAGTATCCCATTTTGAAATCGATTTCTATCAGGTGGCTTCTATTACGGTCCGCCTTGTGGTTGACTATATGTACTCTTTAGAGTTCCCGTTACCATCGTCCACTATAGTATGATATATTATCTTTACTTCAGCCATTGGAAAATCTTTGATCTATGCTTCCTTCACCTTTGCATATTACTGCGTACCGATCAGCCCTGAAGGGGGGAATATAAGAAATATCAAACCTAAATTTTAGCTTTGAAGGAGATTCTATAAGGATTGTTTGTTCTTAATCAGTGGCATTTGAAATAAAGCTTAACTGTGTGGAGATTGAAACGGCCGCAAATAGCTAGAATACACGTTGTGGCAATTTTATCAAGACATTTCCGGAAAAATGGCCGTCATGGTTTAACTGACATGGTCCCATCTAATGAAATAAGTTATAATTTTCACATTTTCGTCTAGATCTTGACGGATTATCTATGGCAGATGCAATTTTCTTAGTCTTAATATTTACATGCATAATACCAAAGAAAGTATTGTCATTTGTTAACTCCCTATATATATGTATAAGATAAAAAATATAGCTATATATACGTATACCTGTTTATATATATCACGCAAAGTTGTTAAATGTACGATAGGTAATGGGCTTATAAAAGAAAGTACTAGAAACAAAGCCTTTACGTTTTTTTTAAAATGTTTTTTGTTTGTTTTCCTTAGGTGTCTGGATAACATCGAATAGCAATCCAACTATTCGTAAAAATGAGATTTATAATGGACATCAAGGAGGTGTATATATTTTTGGCGAGGGTCGAGGACTCATTGAGCATAATAATATCTACGGTAATGCGTTAGCCGGCATTCAGATACGAACTAATAGCGATCCAATTGTGCGGCATAATAAAATCCATCACGGACAACATGGAGGCATATATGTGCATGAGAAAGGTCAAGGCTTAATCGAGGAAAATGAAGTCTATTCGAATACATTGGCTGGCGTCTGGATAACGACTGGCAGCACACCTGTATTGCGTCGCAATCGCATTCACTCTGGCAAACAGGTAGGAACTCAGAAGATATTCCACGATTGTCGAATTGTATGAAAATTTTCATTTTATTTATTCCAGGTTGGCGTATACTTTTACGATAATGGCCATGGAAAATTAGAAGATAACGACATTTTTAATCATTTGTATTCGGGCGTTCAAATACGAACTGGCAGTAACCCTGTTATACGAGGCAATAAAATCTGGGGTGGTCAGAATGGTGGAGTTTTAGTTTATAATGGCGGTCTCGGTCTGTTAGAGCAAAACGAAATATTTGATAACGCAATGGCTGGGGTATGGATTAAAACTGATTCCAATCCTACGCTGAAACGCAACAAAATCTATGACGGCCGCGATGGTGGTATTTGCATATTTAACGGTGGCAAAGGTATACTAGAAGAAAATGACATATTCCGCAATACTCAAGCGGGGGTGCTTATCTCAACTCAATCACATCCTATACTAAGGCGTAATCGTATCTATGACGGCCAAGCTGCGGGCGTTGAGATAACAAATAACGCAACAGCTACCCTTGAATATAATCAAATTTTTAAAAACAAATTCGGTGGCTTATGCCTGGCCAGCGGTGTGCAACCTATAACGAGGGGAAATCAAATATTCAATAATGAAGATGAGGTTGAAAAAGCTGTATCTGGCGGTCAATGCCTATACAAAATCAGCAGTTACACCTCCTTTCCAATGCATGATTTTTACAGATGCCAAACTTGTAACACGACCGACCGTAACGCCATTTGTGTAAATTGTATAAAAAATTGCCATGCTGGACATGATGTAGAATTCATTAGACACGATCGGTAAGTTGAAAAAGAATTCTTTGGAAAAAGACCTTAAATACCTTAGGGGACTCTTGTTGTAATGTTATGCGTATGCAGGTTTTTTTGCGATTGCGGCGCTGGCACTCTGTCCAATCAATGCCAATTACAAGGTGAACCCACTCAAGATACAGACACTTTGTACGATTCAGCAGCACCAATGGAGACACATACACTAATGGTGAATTAACCAGAACTTTAATTTGTAAGCTTTTGAAAAGAAATCAAAAATCACTTTTAAAACGATTTCGACTAAGAAGCAATTCACTAAAACGACAGTAACAGTAAATCCGCAAAATGCAATTACCATTTAATGTATTCACAGATCTAGTGTTAGTTATTATATTTATATGTATTTACTAAACGACAACAAACAAAAAAAAAAAGAAGGAAATATTTTACACATACGGAAAACAAAAAAAAAAAAACAAAAAAACAAAAAAAGAAAGAAAAGAAGTACGCGTGCTTTATATCTAAGTTCATAATTAATTAAGCTCAATAATATTTAAACGCAGGATCTAAAAAGAAAAGAAAAAATTATTCTCACTTTCGCTACTATTTTTTTTTTCTTCTTTACTGCACGCCGCGCCCCCAGTTGAGAATGGTTTTTTCTCTTATTCTTTCTTGTTTTTAAAGCAAAGATAGATCAATAATAATTCGCCTGAGTATTATAGGAAATTTTCATAATTAGATTTAGATAAGCACGTCTATCGGACTAAAATACTAGTTTATACATTACAAGAAATGTTGAAATATGTTGTGCCCATGAAATTGAAAAAGTTTATATGTCGCAAATATTTCCATAAATTTTGGTCCAAAATTGAAGAAAAACAAAAAAAAAAAAAACAACAAATGCAAAGTTTAGTTACGACAAACAGATAATAGAGATAATACATTACGGTTTAGTTAATGGCCAACTTCTATTCTTCTCTATAAGTTTTTATCTTGTTTTTTTTTTTCTTCATTAAGCATTAGAATTATATTCTGCTCATTTCTAATTTTAGAATTATGTTTCACTCTGAGACCATTTATTTATGTTGGAAGATCAAAAGCTTGCTTGTTAGTGTCTAGGCTGATTCGCCTGGGCACCTGTTTATTTGCCACAAGTAAGAGTTTTAGGTTAGAAAAAAAAAAAAAAAAAAAAAAACAAAGGCAGAAGTATATTTTAAATTAGAATTTATTTTTTTTTTCTGTTTTGTTTTGTTTTAAGATAGGCAATGTATTATTTCTAAAATCTAAATTAAATTTGCCATGTAGTAGGGTATGCTTAGATTCGATTTCTTTTTATCATTTATTATTATGTATAGACTCGAATGCCTGTAAATGTTCCAGTGTAAAATCAAATTTATTTTGCAATTAAAATAAAAGAAAGTCTACTTTCGAAAATTTTACGACCAGCACTTACTATATCAGATGCGGAATGATTTTAATATATATATTATATTGAAATGTATATATATTTGTGTATATGCATAAATGTAACTTTACTTCACATGTCCAATTTCTCGAAATTCCTAACGCGTTGTGGACGGGAAGCTTTGATAAGCTTATGATCAGAATAAACACATATTTTTTACAATTTTGCCTTCTTCGCTTTATTCCAAGCGACAAGCTTGTAAAACGCAAGCTAACATATGGTTTGCCTTCTTCACAGACGCTTTTTAGGGTAGAAAGGCTAAACTGTGTTAAAAAAAAAAAAGAAAAAAGGTGCTGAATTTACCGTAACGATGACAAGAAGGCTACAGGATAGCCTTGTGGTTATCGATATCGAATAAACTTGATCGTATTTTGTATATGTTACTCGACAGAAATCTTACGTTTGGAAGATTTTTCATTCGATAGTAAGAAAAATGCATACTTTATCCACCGCTATCGAGTTTACTCGACATTGAGACCCGTGAACCGGCCCACATATTGATTTAAGACAATATAACCTACGAAAAAAAAAAGCTTCAATTAAAATCTCGGTTTGCCCATAGAAGGATCAAAATATGGCTTCAATGGCAAAATAAAGAAAAATTCTAAGGCAATACCATCGCTCAATGGCACAGTCTTTGATAAATTATCACTATCACATAAAAAAAATAAATCCTCAGCTACATCTGCGTTTTGTCTACAAAGCGATCAGAATGAGTCCGCAGACTCGACCAAGTAATTTGGTAAGAGAGTAGTAGCATTACATGAGATTTAGTTCACAGCTAAGCTTTGAACTATTAACGAACTATTATTAACATTGATCGGCGACGGCAACAGACAAACAATTAAATTCGCATTCTATTGCTGAAGCGGTTTGAATATTTCGCAAAAACCAAGCCAAAGTAGTTTTGTAGGCCAGTGCTACTGTTTAATAGGATTTAACAATTAGTTCACTCATAATTGACAACCACAGGAAATCATTAATGACAACTAGCAGCATCTTTAGAAAAAGGTTTCTGCTCACAAAATGATCGGTATATATGAGAAGATAGACCAAGGCGACTTTTTTGCTAGCGTTTCGAGGGGTTCAGTTCAAAACTGAATTTTTTATAACCTAATGAGACTAGAAATATTTATTGGTTGATGCCGGGCGATAACACGGAATCGAAACTTTTAGAATGCTTTAGAACGCACGTCAAAGTAACTTTGTAAAGCAGAGATACCGTTCGATAGGTTCCAATTTTTAATTGACCATTAATGGCCAAGGATATGATTAATATTGGTCAAGCGTTTGAAGAGTTTTACTCCGAATATCTATGTTGTAAACAAAGACAAAGCACATTGACTTTGACGATCAATTTTATTATTATGATTAAGTGTTATTTAAAATTAAATTTTTTATTTTTTTGTTTTTGCTTTCAATAAGAAAATCGGTATTGTTAACCTGTACAATTGTTCTTTATTTATTTGGTTATTTGTACTTGACTTAACTGAAGCCGCAACCTTTTAAAAGATTAGTTTCGTTTCCCGCTAAATATTGGTTGGTCATTAGCAGAGGAGAGGGTGGTCAAGTGAGATGACTAAGATAAGAGTATTGGTCCAATTCTGAAGAATGTGTTTTTTCTTTTTTATTTTACTGGACTATAGTAAAAATAGGAAACGTTTCTCTTAGTACTTAGTAAGATTTGAACTTTTCTTTTTCAAGTAAACACACTCCTATGAAAACAGTAAATACAGTAAATATTGTAATGAAATAATGCGTACAAGAATTATATTTAAAAATACGGTATAAACATTAATAATACACATATACATACATAGATGCACAAAACAATGCATGGCAAAATAATTGCACGTTTTTAAGCAAAATTTCTAAAAATTTTCGGTTCGGAATCAATAGTAAATTGTCAACTGAATTACAATCAACTTCTTACTGCTATAAACGTTTATTATTTATTTAATGATAATATCAAAAGATGTTTATCGCTATTTACAATAGTCAGTTAAGTCATTTCTTGGTTTATTAAGTGTTATATATATATATATACATATATATATATATGTATATATGTGTGCATATATGCACTCTTCCTAAGCCCTATTTTTTGCTTGTGAGATAGCACTCTTTTCGAAAGTGATGTGTAGCAAACTAACTAACATTTTATTTCCTTTGAATTTGTTTCTCACAATCTATAGAGCAACAGGAACGTAAGCCAATTTACGGTCAATTTGCAAGGTCTACACTTCAGGCGAATGTAATTTTCTCGCCTATTACTTTTTTCTGCACATATTTAGAAGAATAAAATGAATAATTAATCCTAGCCATGTCAAAAACAGACTGGAAAAGCATAGGAAATGTATCTCTACGTTTCGTCTGACCTGAGCGATACCTATGTCGACCACTTTGACGATACACCCGTTCGTCCGTCAACTAGAAACTTTGTGTAATATGAGTTAAGATTGACAAAATGACAAAATTTTTTTCTAAAATACATTAGTATGGCAAACACGCATTCATAATGATGAACGTTTATGAGGAAATCTGATAAGGACGGATGTAATCGTCAGAAATACACTTAGAAAGCCTGAGATGAGGATTTCTAATAGTTTTTCCTATGTCCGTCCGTTCTTATATGCAATCTATTAATTCAAATAGAAAATATTTAGAGGTATGGAGGAGAAGATGAATGCTTACATCAACATAACGCAATCTTGCTAAACTAAAAGTGCGAAGGTGAATGAGTTCTTACTATGTGATGATGTGTGCAATACCATGGATAAGCAGAACTTTGCTTTATGAAATAACTGGAAACATTAATTGTTATATATAGCTATCTAATTAGGAAATGTTTTTTTTTTTTTACAAGTTATTATATTTT